AACGGCAGCAACATGTCCTCTCGGCTTGCATTCCGGTTCACACGCCGCCGTCCTGCTCAGTTTTCACTCTCGGTCCCGGCTGGCATATTCCGCATCACGACACCTTGCCGGCTGTCTTCGTCTGCCAGTCACTTCAGTGAGCCGCCCATTTCCCCCCTTGGCCCGTCATGCCTCTGCTCTAGCGGCCTTGCTGACTTCACGGCCGGCACTTTGCCGCCTTAGACCCGGCCACTCCCCCCACACCGCCGGTTAAGCCTTTCTTCGTCCGGGCGATTCTGTCTACCCTCCGCTTTTCCTTCGGTGCTCTGTTTCTCACAACACTCGGTTTTGTAATCGCGGCCGCGCCTGCCTACGATACCATGGTTGCCATCACTTCGCCGCCCAGCGACGCCGAAACCGTCTCTCTGTTTGTCCCCCAGGATGACGACGCCCAGGCCAAGGAGGATTTCATCAACTCGCATCCCCTCACCCTCACCCTAAGGGCCAACCCCGACTACATCGAGTCACGCCCACACATGAAGATTCCCGAGGCATGGCGAAAACGCAATCTGACGGGTGGCGTCCTCATGGGCCCAGGAAAGGTAGTGGTCCCGCCCTTCAGCTTCTCTGAGCAGACGGGAAAGGACTTTGTGCAGATATCCCACGTTGGTACTGATCTATGCGGTCACATGGGCGTCATTCATGGTGGTTTTCTGGCTACGATGCTCGATGAAGGACTGGCCAGATGTTGTTTCCCCGTGTTGCCTTTCAACGTCGGCATGACGGCCAAGTTGGACATTAACTACAAGGCTCCCGCCATGGCCGACCAGTACCTCGTCTTACGGGCCACTACCGTCAAGGTCGAAGGGCGAAAGGCTTGGGTGGAAGGCCACATCGAGACACTCCCGTCCAAGGAAGGAGAGGAGCCGACCGTGCTGGTGACAGCAAGCGCCCTCTATATCTCCCCCAAGCAAGCAGCGGTACGTTGAAACCTCTCCACGGCAGGTCTGGGGTCTGTAAAGCTAATTCTCCAATGAGCAGACAATGGCAAAGGTGTATCCCGTCAAATAGTAGCCCATAGGGGACACTGTGCCTGCAGCCTGCCTTATGGCTCCTAGAGGAACATCTGGCCCGCTGGGGCTATGGGACGTACAGGTATCAAGGGGCGGGAAGTACGCAGTCGAGTGAGTGCTCTGATCGGGCTTGGTGGCCCCGGACAACGGTGGAGTTCCGGTATTACTGCATAGACAAGGTGGGTGGAATAGATACACTAGAGTAGGCGCACTTGGATTTTTGGCCTATATACAAGCTTTGTAGCAATTCATACTATCCTATAGAGCGAATTCTCAAAAGACAAACGGGATGAAGAAGTGGATGTAACGTCGTGTGGTAGGTAGGTTGTCAAGTACGATAGTAAAGGTACCCAGGTACTGCGGTACTTGGCACTGTCGGGCCCACTTCTGTCACAGAGAGAGCGATTGCGCAATTGCTGAACCAAGTAGGCGGGACAATACATACCCATCGGCTTTTACACCGGACCAAAACTAAGTGGTAACAACATCAGTAAAAGAGTCATTCGCATCTTTTTCTCCTCCCCCTCTTTATCGCCTATCTTTGCCTGTTCTCTTACAAGCGTCAAAAACCTAAACCTCATTACAACTAAAGATCACAGTTGCCGTGAACAGTCAACAATGGCTACGTGAGTCCAGTTCCTCTCCCGTGCATTTATCCACATTTTGCCAGAATTGCGGGGCTTCCGGGCCAGGTTGACAGACAGACTGACTGGGACATATACAGCAACATCACCTGGCATCCTTCGCTTTCGCGACATGAACGCAACCAGCTGCGTGGCCAGCGTGGTTTCACCATCTGGTTCACAGGCTTGTCGGCGTCGGGAAAGTCGACGGTGGCAACCGCCCTTGAGCAGCATCTCTTGCACATTGGCCTGGCCGCCTACCGGTTGGATGGCGACAATGTGCGTTTCGGGCTGAACAAGGATCTTGGTTTCTCGGAGAAGGACCGCAATGAGAACATTCGGCGCATCGCAGAGGTACGTCCAACCCCAAGCTTTAACCCTTTTGTCTTCAAATTGTTTGCGGCTCTCGTGCTTACTCCCTTGGAAAATTTCCCCTTTCAGGTAGCCAAGCTTTTTGCCGACTCTTCCACGATTGCTCTCACCTCGTTCATTTCACCTTATCGCGCCGACCGCCAGATCGCGCGTGACCTCCACGCAAATTCGACACAGGCTGGAGACGACCCGCTTCCCTTCATCGAGGTATTCGTTGACGTTCCTCTTGCCGAGGCCGAGAAGAGAGATCCCAAGGGGCTGTACAAGAAGGCCCGCGCTGGAGAGATCAAGGACTTCACGGGCATCTCGGCGCCTTACGAGGCACCCGAATCGCCTGAAATCACCATCAGGACAGACCTTCTGAGCGTGGAGGAGTGCGTCAAGAAGATTGTAGATTATCTGGCCGAGGCCGGTCTCATCAGCGAAACTAAGGAGACGAGATAAGGCTGAACTGGGAAGAGGATACAAGCACCCCATACCTGGGGACCCAAGATCAAGTGTGCGTGAAAGCTGAAGTCATTAACCGAAACCACGAGCGCATGTGTTGTCCTTGTCAGGCACTTTCAAGGGGAGAACACCTATCTAGTAGTGCCTATTGTCGACAACGTATAAGACACATGGTCCGTGAGAGTCACGCCCAGGGGCGCGTATCTGGCCATCCACCGCCGCCATTGCTGTCGCCGCCTCCGCGTGGCTCTGAAATATAACCCAACCGTTTAAGGAAATTCGAATTCATAATACACATAAGCCGTGTACTCATTGCCATCACCCGCGGAATAACCCGCGGCGGCCATTTCCGACGCTAAAGAGGCATCGTCTTTGGTAACTCGCCCTCGTTTGTCTCTCCCGAAGGCATTTCCACCGAGGTACGAGTATGCCTTGTCCAAAGCCGTTTTGACCTTGTTGGCCTGCTTGGGGGTGGTCTGCCACAGTGTCAGCGTAAGTTGCAGTATCGTCATCCTCGTCGAAGCCATACCTTGACAAGAGCACACACAAACTCCAGCGGCAAACCGTATCGCAGCACCGTCTCGACAAAAACACGTAAAGTCAAGACGTGTGCCCACACCATGACGCTCTCACTCCAACCTGACCTTCCCATGTGCAAAGCTTCGCCCCAGACTTTCTTTTCTTCCCTGGCCATGCGCTCAAGCTCGCGCTGTTCTTCCTCCTTCCCACCTTGGACGTGCTTGTATTGGCGGGAGTCCACTTTTGTTCGCGACATTTGTGCAAAAAATCGGCACTGGTTTTCTTGAAGGTGGTAACGGCAAATAGGGTGAACTCGTCATCTTGGGCTATCTGGAGAGCCGACCTGGGTACAACCATATCGGCGATGGTTTCGTAGCTCCGAAGGAACTCTTTGCGTGCGCTCGACGGAACCACAATTAGGTGTGTTTCAAGATATTCAGAGTCTTGAATAAGGACGTCGGGCTGAACTATGGGCGTAAGGGACTTGGTTGCGAGGTTGCCGCTGAAGAGCAGTCAGTGCCTAGCGGAGTAACCGAGAAACGGGAAACAATTAGTGACTTACGTCTGCTTCCTCTGCAATGCAGCTAAATTCGTCTTAACGGTATTATACTGGTTGAACTTGGCCTTGACGTCGTTATCGATGTTTTGAATCTCTTTCTGCAGGTTCTCGATCAACTCGCCCAAGGGCTTTTCGGCTCGGTAGCGAACCTTGTTCCACTGGAAGGAGCAAAGATAGCTATCTGTGGGCTCTGGGCGCTGTTAGCATGGTCGGCGTAACAATGGCGCCGTGGGTCCCGCGGGGAAGAAATGCTCACTATCGTTCACCATCTTCTGCTGCGATATCTTGTCTTCATCCCCGTCGAGAATGCCTGCCAGAGAATCGGCCACTTTGGATACTACTGCCTCACAGGCGGCGTTGAGCTTTGTCAGGTCATCGGCATGCTGCACCAAGGCATCAAGTGTACCGATCTTGAAGGAAGGTATGGAAAACTTGAGTATCTCTCCATTGTCCTGGCCAATGGTGGAGCTGAGCACGGAGAGGGGCTCGTCGTCGAAGATGCGGACAGGAAGAGAGACGAGGGAGTAGCGAGTTGGCGGTGCCATCGTGGGCGGCTCCTCGGGCACCGAAAGTGATGCTTATGTGCAAGCCTACCACAGTACCGGGAGAGATTCGCTGTCGTGATGGTGAAGCTGGACTGTATATGCGCAACTCTCGGCTGCGATGGTGAAGGAGCTGCGTTGACAAGGAGATGGTGGAACTTGTAAGCAGACTGTCTATGAAGAGATGAAGGGAATGGCCAAGGAGGCATGCGGCGGCGGCAAGCGATGAGAAAAGGTGGCTAGGTGGATAGGACTGTTATTGACAATGATGGGTGATAGATCCAATGTCTTGATGGATGATATTTGGGAGGTTCAGAGTGGGGAGCTGCCGAGCTGGCTTCTCTTGTGGCCTACGTAGGAGGGGACGGGAGGAGGTGATGCCGATGAGTGATCGCACGCGCGGGAGCTAGGTACCTCTAAATCCGGTACCAAAAGACAGGCAGGTAACTTAAGCTCGGTCCTACCTAAACACGAGCTAAGAGATAACCTGATAACTCAGACCGAACCTACCGCTAGATGGTACAGCACTGCAGGCATGAATTACGTATGCGCTTCTAGGCACGAGGTGTGGCAGGGTGTGCACCAGTGGTACACATTCACACGGTACCAGGTATGGTATGTAAGTTACCTTTGATACACCTCCGGGCGTTGCAACACTGGAAGCGCACGACGATGAAACATATGAAGGTCAAGTATTCGAGAAATGTCCCTTCCGTTGTGAGAGAGAACAGAATACAGGTAGTAGGTAGGTAGTGTGATGTCCAACATTTCCATTTATCAGAGAAAGTTTATCTGTACAAGGTGTGAGATCTAGTATTCGTTTCCACCCGCCATCTCAATACCTACGTCCTTGAAGGGGTTCTCAGTCGCTGCTGCCTCCAAGTAGCAGCATACTTAGACACGGATACTATCGACCAGGAAGAGTGCCCTCGAGCGCCTGCGAGCCAACTGTCATCCCCGCACGCTTTTACCCAAGCAGACAGCCCGACCACCAAGGGCCGGCAGACTATACATTTCCGCACAACAACACTCCAACCAGACTCGATTTTCTGGCGACAACCACCCTCACCTCTCGCCCATCGTGACCGAGCGAGGAGGCCGAGTTTGACCGGCTACTAGAGCGCTGCAAGCAACATCTTCAAGAGTGCAGGCGCGTACCTTGATCGAAACCTCAACGCAGCCGCGGTGTCTGGCGTCCCTTCCACATAGCGACAACCTAAGTTCCAAGACGGACGGATCCAAAGCGCGCCATTACAGTTTCCATTGCCGTGCCCATCACTCTTTACTCGTCCATGGTGCGACCGGCCAGCTCGCTGCGACTGTTGTCAGTGTACGCGACCGGCACATCAAGTCCCGCTGCGCCCTTTTGATCGTCCGAGAGCACACGGCGGATTGGATCTCGCGGGCTACCTCTCCAGGGTGCCTATCGCGCCTACGCTTGCTTCTACTCGTCTTCGCCCTGTCCGCGCCATCAAATCGTCCGCTCCTGATCTTGCGGCCGGTCACGGACAATCATTCGAAGGTCGCCTCGTAATATGTGAATAGCAAAAGAGCTGTGCACTTTTGACCTTAGTCTCTGCGGCAACAGCAGCATTCATCCGCCCTGGGATCTCCGGCTCTCAAATCCAGGTTCCCTCGAGTTTCCCGCTAGCAGCCTTTACTGCCCCGGTGCCGCTCGAGCTTGTTCCGCCGGCAGATATTCCATGGCTACAGCCTCAGGTAGGCCAGAGCAACCCTTCGTGCATCTCGCCTCCTTATACCTGGTGCATTTTGCTGACTGGCTGTCATTTCGCTCCTACAGGCCCAAAGGCTGTCAGGCCAGCCGGTGCCACTGTCTCCGCACCAGCTCGGCATACTCCCACTCAGAAGGTGACTCCTGTCCCGGTGCCAAAGCCGGGATCCGTACCGTCTCTTCCCCCGTCTGCGAATCAGGCTGTGGCTGTCGAGAAAGCCTCCAATGCCGCCAGTAACTCGGCAACTGCCACCGCCGTCCAAGGCGGCTTCGGCCTTCTTACCCCGGCCGAGTCAAACCTCCAGGACGCCACGAACGGCCCCCACCGAGATGGTCGGATTCGGAACCCTGTCCCAAGCAAGCTCAAAGGAAAAACCGATGGATCCAAGGGCAACTTCAGCGTTATGCACATGGGGGTAGCTGGGAGGGCCGAGCCAACAGAACGAGATGCTCAAGCAAAGCGTACGAGCGAGAGCACGGAGCTGGCCGCCAAACGAGCTTTCGAGAACGGCTATGTTTCTCATAGGAGAAGCAAGTTTGTTCAATTATCGGATGATACGGTTGCGAAGCCTTTCGTCCCAGCCACCACAACCGCGCAGGTGCCTAGCTACATGTCGGCCCGTCAAACTCCCCTAAATGCCGACGAGACCAAATCAGAACAAGCTCGGCTTTTAACACTCCTCCGAAGCCTTCAACCGCTCCTTGTGGTTGATCAGATTTGCAAGGCTCTTGCTTTCTTCGGAGGCATACCTGGTGCTCCACCGCCCGCGAACGGTGAGTTTCCCCAAAGCGCCGAGGCGAATGGTTCGGGAAGCTTGTTTGTCGGCTGGATAGCCGAGATCTTTCCCAAACTCGGAGGTAACAATGGGCAGCAAAATATGGCCCCTGTTCGCCAAATGGATGGACCTGAACCTGTTCGGCGGAAACGGGGAAGACCAAAAGGAAGCAAGGCCACCAAGGTGCGTAAGGACAAAGGCTTGAAAAAGGGCCCTAGCAAGGACACCCCAGACCGGACACAGAGAGAGGCCGATGCTGATGGGAATTGGGTCGACGTCGAGTACGGCGATACAAGCGCTCCTGACGCGGTGGATGCTAATGTTATGCTGCTTGCCCAAGCCGCAAGCCCTCACCGTGAACCAGCCCATGTTGAAGCTCCAGGGATCACGCAGCCAGATGCGGCTACCAGCCACGTAACAGCGACTATTCCAGCGCGTACCATGCAGCATCATGGACCCGGCACCGAGGGTCTTGTCACCGAGAGCCCGGGGAACATGAAGAAAAGAGGCCGGCCTAAGGGGTCAAGAAATCGCCCAAAGATGTCCGATGCGTCCGTTCTTCCAAGACAGTCAGTCCAGCCAGCGGACAATTCCTACGCTTCTGCTCAGTTGTCGCAGGCAACTGAAGGTTCCCAGCCCCAATCGACCAATGCTTCATTTACTGCCGTGAATTCCGTAGCTTCTGCCAACTCGGCCAAGAAAAAGGCATCGCGACCAAAAGCTTCCGCCACCAAGAAGCAGGTGGACGGTCCCGTAGGAACGGACAGTTCAGGGCCAACGCTACAGACCACGGTACCATCTGCTGCTAAACAACAACAGACAGTGGAACTGAATGGCAACCCAACCCAAAAACAAGTTCAGCAGAACGTTCACTCTGATCAAGGATTACAGGTTATACCAGTTGGTACGGTCCCAGCTCCAACAACAAAAGACTCTGCTCGGGTGCCTGCCAGTGTGGGTCAGAAGCGAAAACGGAAAATTGCAAAAGATTTTGGTGCCATTGACAGCATCAACGGGACCGGTTCGACAACTCCATCCTCCACCGCGGTTACGTTGCCAACACCATCCACTCAGCCGGGTTTTCAATCCGCCACTGCAATCGCGGCAGTGGGAATCCCCCCTGCGAAACGCCAACGAAAGAGCAAGGAGTCGAGACCTAAAGGGAAGAAGTCGAATGATATGACAATCCCAGATTCATCCGAGCCAGCGGCCTCCTCCAAGATGAAAGCTGCCGCTTCCGCGCCAGTGCCCAGTCTAAATCAAGCGCCTGCGACCACCCCCGCTACATTTCATATGGCGCATGGAATAGGGTCAGAAGTGACTCCTGTGTCGTCGTCAGTGTCCCTCGAACAAGTTATGCCGTTAGCTCAATCGCCGCAAGGTCACTTCGACGTTCAGTCTCCGACGATGGAGAATTACGAGGCTCAGCTACAGGCGCAACTGGAGCTGAAGAGCGATGCTGAGTCGCAACATCATAGCCTTGCTCCAAGACCCATAGTAACCAATCATCTTCAACAGCAACAGTCACAACAAAGACAACAAAGGCAGCAGCCGACCCAACAACAAACACGGCAGCCGTCACAGACGCATACGCAACTCCCTTGCCACACTCACAGCCTCACCCTCAACCTGAATCATCAGTACAGCAACCCCAGCCACAGCGACCGCAATCAATTTCACAGCAACCATCGCAGCATCACACCTCTGTTTCACAGCCAAGTACTCAAGGACAATTACAAGCTCACCAGTCCCAGACCCCGAGCCCCATGATCTCTCAGCAGCAGAATAAGGCAAATCATCATTATACCCAGTACCGCCCCTCAACATCGCCATACAGTCAAGGCCAACACCAGCATAACTACTCATCCCCTCAGCAGCAGTCTCAAAACTTTACTGGACAACAACAAGCCCAGGCAACGCCACAGCCTACCCCAGCGCAACAGTATTCAAACACTCATCAGTTACCGCCATACGGTTCTGGTCAACAGTCGTACCAAAATAGCCATAGCCACTACAACGGAACTCAGCAGTCAGTGGCTTCACAGCAGCGCTATCAGCAACACCTGGCCACAGGTACAACGACCGCAAGCGCCTACTCTGCTCACCAATCACCCCAGTTCGGGGCTTCATCAACAAATGCCTTTAGTTCTGCAGACACTGGTTACCGAGGGTCTACTGGGAGTACCAGCAACCCAACCTACGGGTCACAACAGGGTCAGTCGTCAGCGCCATCTGCGGCTTCGACGTACCGAACTAGTAGTACGCATAATCTCGTCCATCAGTCACCGTCTTATAGAACGAACACTGGAACAACGCTGCATCGCTCTTCAAGCACAAGCCACCCGACTAGTCAAGGGATTCAAGCCATCAGTAACATGCAGTCTTTTGCCGGGACGAACAACACCGAGTGGGACTTTTTGAACCCAAGTACCCTCGAGAGCGCTGGAAGCCAAGGGGCTTTGGCAATGAGCGGCGCCGGGTATGGTATGAATAGCGCAGGTGTGAGGTCAACTTCAAACTCAGGGACGCCTTTCACTGCGAGCACCATGGCCAATTTTGATGCTTCAGGGCTTCCATCCCTAGGAGGCAACAACAGGTATTTTGAACTTGGACGGCGATAAGTCATTACTCTACCTCGCCGTCCACATAGGGAAGGTTGGTTATTCCCACCCTTGCTCGACGACAGGGGCTCGGACTTGGGGACGACGAATCTGAGTGAAACGCAGTACAACGTAATGTTTGGTCCATATAAATGTACTATGATATTCGCGCTCGGCAATGAGATCGTTTGACGGTTTGTTCTGGCCGATCTCGCTCCAAACAGCGAGCAGAAGGGTTTCAAGGAAATGCGAGTTGTACTGACAACACCGCGGAGGCTTCTTATTTGTTTTCCTATCTTTTTCCATCTGTCGGGATATCAAACGTGGGTGTGTCATTGACCAGCGACAGAGCGCCCAGTTCCATAAGCGTACGATAGATTTTTGACAGATTCAGAGAGCAATTTGACTGGTCTCCTGTACATCCAATCACGCCATCAACGAGGCTTGTTTCTGACAGGATTGCGTCACCTGGAAATGGTGGACTGAAGACCATAGCGAGATATCAACATGAGCAGGAGGAACCCTCGCCTTATCCAATGCACTAATGGGTGTCCAACTCATTATGTATATGTTGTGATCATCTACTGGCTCGAAGGAGAGCATGTTTCTTCGTGTACTCCGGTCCCGCGTGCTATGCATATGTTTTGCCGCAAAGAAATGCGACACCGGGAGAAAGGGGGACCCCTCAGACGATGTTTGAGGGAGATTTTGCAAAATGATGGGCCATGTTTGTGCCTCTAGGATATATTCAAAGGCAGTGGCTGCAAAAATAAGACTACATTGGAGGGTGAAGGGAAGACAAGGCAACAGGTGAGTGTATACCATTGTGTAAAAGAGAAAACCAGAATCTAACGCCTTTAAATGCTTTTAGTATAAGTACCCCGGTACAAAGTGCAACAAAACAACTTTGATGAAAAAACGCCATGGGCATCCGCCTGATGAAGCCGTCTCGGTTTGCGCTGAACTGAGGCTGTGTGGATAGGGGAACGAAAGTTCAACATCGCAAGACGTCAAGTACACCCCCTCCTTATTTGTGCCGCACTAGGAGAGCTCCTGGGGCAAAACAAATGAATGAACTGCCAAGTTCACTCATTCTAGAACATCCTCCTCGATCGCCTCAAGGTTGGGTCGTACAGACTCGGGCGCAATAGTGCCATACCACCACTGGTCCTCCTCTTCAAACCCGTCTTCGCAGATCAGATCGGTGAATATTTGGGCGTTGCGCTTAATATCAGAGGCACGTTCAACTATTTTCCGTTCCAGAATCAGGGCTTCGGCGGTTTCCAAAAAAGATTTTTTGCAGTATCGGGAGGTCGGAAAGCAACAGCTTCAGCTGGTCCCGGGCCAGTGGCCCCATAGGCCTACCGGTAGACAGGCTAGTGTTGAAAACGAGATTGCTCATCGGGTCTCTGGTTGTCATACCGGCATCTCCAGATATCCGAGCATTAGCCGCCACCGCGTCTCCTAACGGATTCTTTCCCATGGTGAAGGAAGACTTTTTGCGTTTCAACCCCAGCATACCCCGTCGTTTCTTGGGTTCTTGCTCTGCCGTGTCGCGTGTGATGGAGTTGTACCAGTTATCCACAGCCGCCCGCCTTGTATTGTACCCTTTCACCTCCCATATCCTTTCCACCTCTCGGAGACCCCCAATGCACAAAATCGCAACGTGCACCTCATCCGGCGGTTTGTCCCTCAAGTAGCCCCTGATCGACCTTTCAACTCGGCCAACATACGAAGGCGGGCGGAGGCGCCGGCAGAATGAGGAAATAACTAAGGGAAATACCTCGTGTACTCGAAGTAGCGTCCTGTCATCATACAAACTCATAATTTGTGCCTCTATGGGGTTAATCGTGTAAGGTTCTTTGAGAAGGCCCTTGCCGTCATTTTGGGCGAGATATTTGAGGTGAAGATCCCGATAGGTCTCGAAAAAATGAAAAATGGTGAATAGTAGGGGGATCAGACGCTTCCGCATCCGTTCCCTTTGAGGTGCGAAAGACCTTTTCTTTTCTTCCGTGTTCCGGAGAAACAGTTCCCGCGATATCCACTCACACATCAGATACGAGAGCTTGGCAGCCACATGAAGCCTGTGCCATATCCCGCATAGATAGTGAAGATTCAGGGCCGATGGTGAAGGGGCCGGATATAGTCGTTTGGCATAAGCCGGGACGTGATTGTCGAGATGATGTCGTGCGATAGGGGTCTCGTTGAGCGATATTAGAGCATGTAGCGACCGTGATGTCAGTCGCAAGTTGAGGATGTCGGAGAGCGGGAGAGAGGCAATGATCTCGACTTGTAGCTCGGGAGGCAGACAGTGGAATTGGCGATCGAACGAGGTGCTCTGCCGGACCAACGGCTCTGTGGCCGAGAAGCGACGTTCGCCATGATCCAACGAGTTGGAGCTAGATGGCGTCTTGGCGTGGAACTTTCGAAAACTGAGGAAGCCTTTCTTCTCCGGACGTTTCGGCTCGCTGGCCCTGGTTGCTGCATCTTCGGTTTCGGGATGGTGGGCACCTCGTAAAGGAAGAAGGAACTGTGAGGGCGGCGCGACAGTGGTAGATTGCTGCGTAGCGCTTGTCTGTGGCCGATTGATCTTGTCCAGATATCGCTCCGAACCAAATTCGGTGATGTGTAGAGGATCCATCTCTCCGGGTGTCTGCAAGCTAAGGAGGCGTCCAGGGTCAAGAATGAGTTGAGAAGAACCAGGACAGGCTAGAGAGATGGGTCATGTGTGTGTGTTTTTCGGGGCAGGCGGCACCTCCTCCTCTTTTACCGATGCCGCGACGATCCAGCCGTGATGGTCGATGTTATTGTGTCGAAGGCGCAAGCTGGTCGCAGTTCAAACATGGTGAAGCATCAGTGTCGAGGAGCAAAGAGTCGAGGTTGACGGGCAAGGAAGCACGGCCCTTTCCACAGTAGGGATCCACCAAAGCCGTGATGTCGTGAAATTGAAGTCGTCGGGACGTAGGAGCGGGCAGTGACGCTGCTCGAGGTTCGGTCGGGACCGGGCAGTCTTGGTCGCAATCGGGCAGGTTCGCGGTTCGCAAGTGGGCACTGCGCGTCGATCAGGGTGAGGTGCAAGCAGAGTTATGGAAACAGGCGCGATTGGGAATGATTGTCGAAATGAATGGTCAGGGCAGTCGGTGATGTTGGTCGCAACTGGTAGTAGGCGAAAGGATGCCCGTCAGTCAAACGGCGAAGAAATCGGAATCGGGAGACCACAGGAATAAGCTTGCTACCTCCTCGATCTAGGAGACCCTCCGACCCTCGTGGAGTAGTTGGGATGCCGGGACTCGGGAAGGGGAAGACGGAATTGGATCAAAGGTGGATGGAGTAAGTATGTGTACGTGGGTAGTCCTGATGGAAGTGGAAATCTGGAGGACCAAGGTAGGTACGGGCGGGGACCCATTCTGTCTACTGTGGAGATACCTGTGCATTGTGGATGCCGGGTGGTTCGTAGCAGGAAGCGAAGTACCTATCGCGACAGATACACCTACCGTACTCTGCCGTGGGGTGCTCCTTTCTCTCAGTGGCCGGCCACTCTACTGGAGAGAAGACTTGTTACAAAGAACCGACAACAGAGCGAGCCAGAGCAAGTACAAGTTCTGAAAGCTAATATAAAGCTACTGTAATGTAGATAGTGGCCGGTATGTATGCGATACGGGCATAGGTTACCTTGATGAATGAAACGGACTGAACGGGCGTGTTGGTCCGTTTGGATCACTCCACGCCACAGCAGCAACGACACATGCACCCATGGTGGTGCTTGCTACCATGGTGAGTTCGCGACGGAAATCCGGGGTAGTTAGGTAGTAGATGGATCCTACTGCTGCTGATGTGGAGGGCGCCCAGGCCGAAACTGGAACTCGTTGAAATGTTCTTTTGTTACCTTCGCTCCTCGAAAGACTGCTCGTTTTCACAGCATCAGGCCGGGGCCGCTGAGATTCGTAGCCGTAGGACCACCGACGTGAATTTAAGTTCGCTACCTTTGGCTCCTTGGCTAGGGTCCCGATGGTACGTATCTACGTACACCAAGTATGGATGGACCACGGCGCTTTTGCCGGCCTAATAGTGGAGAGACACTTGAGGTCCTGTCGGGGCCACTTCAGCGCCTGCAGGATGTTCCACACTATGCTACACTACCTGAGTGTGTATGATGGATTCGACGCTACGCCATGTACATCTGATAGCGCCCTGTGGGAAGAACAAAGACGAATATTGCGGCCGAGCGCGAGGGCAGGACACAGGTAATCTTCTAGGTACAACGCAGAGGTACCGTACGTATATCATCTATCAAAGATTCCCGTCCTCTTCTTGTCGCAGGCAAGCTGGCCGTGTACATGCCCTGACAATCTGACAGAAGGTAGGTAAGGTACCTATCCCCGAGGCCGCTTTCTTCTTCTTCTTCTTCTTCTTCTTCTTCTTCTTCTTCTTCTTCCTCCACCTCACGAGTCCATCAGTCCCGTCGTGCAGTGTACCTATCCAGGCTGTATTACCTCTACGCTACATCCAAAGCTGGGGGGCCTGGCTTGCATGTGTTATGAAGGGGCACTTCATCCCAACGTTACTTTGTGGCACTATGGGCAGCTCGCAATTTAGCCGCGGCCAATTAGAATATACCCAAAACACCGAGCTCGGGAAAATCACACTGCCTACGGACAACACTCCTGGCAGGTCTCGGGGCCTGCGCCAGGAATGGAAAACAAAATAATAAAATAATTGCACCTACACACACACACCTCTATGTACCCGTATTAACACCACAGACGTCGCCCAACCTTCCTGCCTTCATGGCAGACACTCATCAACAGATTATATGCCTGTTCTCCTGCAACTATACAACCGTGACGTCTCAATCGAAAGGAAAGCCTCGAATCATGAACTGATGTTCGTGATTCAAGTTTGGACTCGACTTGCATAGCGCAGCTTACATATATATGGTAGTAGCTGTACAATGCGTACAATCTTCAGCCACAAATCCACCACGGCCTTACTCCGGTGATTTGTAGCACTCTTCTCCCTTCGGACTTGACCGTCGTGTCTTCGTTCGAAGCTCTCTTCGCGGCCGTTCTCTCCCCGCGGTTTCTGCCGGTGCCGTCCCCGTCACGCCCGATGGGGCCGCAACCCGTGCTTTGTGAGCACCGGCATTTTTACTCATCTCCCGAGGCCGATTCGCATGCTTGGGTTTGCGTCGTGCTTGGCAGGCTTGTTGAGTAGTCCTCGTGAGATGTTGATGGGACACCGAACTCGTCTCATTGCCGCTCGCCAAACACCCACCAAGTAAAAGAGTCAACGTTACACCTACCGGCAGCATGTCAGTCTTCCAGGTACTAAACAGTCAAGCACATGATGGCATTGTGTTTCGGGGATTAGGATGGTTAAATACCTTAGCACCGAGATCTACATAATCCACGGGAGAATGCAAGGCGCTTTTTGGCTTGTGCAATCTATAAAAGACAACATCGACAAGCTCGAACAAAAGTGCCGCCTCAAAGCGATCAAGAGTCGCTTACTGGCTCCAGCGTTGCAAGCATCCCATGAGATACGCCATCACACAAATAAACGATCGACAGCGGCTCTTTTCTTCCGAGCTTACACCAAGGTCTTCGCTCGCTACCAAGCGGATTATATGCCCACTTAATATCATATCCCCCTACGCTTTCTACCGTAGCCTGGTCTTGATGAACAAACCCAAAAGTGACGACATTTGGACAGTGGCTGTTGGGCAACTGGCAGTGATGGGGACCCCAGCACCGGGTTTTCTTAATGCTGCACTTGGGTTAGAGACTGGATTGGAACTTGAAGGTCAAAAGTATCCAAGGCACCAGGTTTATTCTGCCCGTGGGAGATGCGCCAACTGCTGACGAGTCTGGTGATCAACTTGAAATGGATGGTCAAATTTAGAAGACAGTACAGGACTAGCCACTGGAAAGTATCAGCAAGGCATAGATTGACAGCGTCCCCATTAAGGAAACGCTTGGTTAGAAGTGGCATCATCACTCAACGTCTCCATTCTAGGCGACGCTCTGAATTCTTATCCCATAACGACAATTACATTCTGAAGAGCCTCCCACACGAGGCCAAGGGGCACCCAACTGTAACAACCACATGCTGGCTCCTTTTTCTAATTAGAGGTTTTGTGTGTTGATGGGAAATATACCAGGTTATTGCGCTGATTTTACTTCTACAGCGGTAGACGGCTGAGGTGGAGTATATTTCTTTTCAAGACCTTTCCCATCCCGAGTTATATTAGCATGACATCAAGTGCCATAGCCAACGCATCTGAGGGAGCTTTCGCCCAACTAGAGCTTCTTGAAGCCCGACTTCTAGTATTAATTAGAGGCCATACCTTCGTGACATGGCTATCGAGACATCCCAACAAAACACACTGTCAGCTTGCTTAGTTTCTTCCAACGTGCGTGTTGACAGTCAGCGAGCGCTCGACGGTCCAGACGGAGACAGAGACGCACTCGTCGCTTCATGGAGGCCATCATCATCATCATCATCATCATCAGTCATCAACGCCATCCACCAACTCTCCCCTCGTCCCACCTCTCCTTGCGTTCCTGCCGCAGGTAGTATAGCTTCTTAGCCTCCCGATATTTCCTGACCCAATCGTTGGCCTCCCGCTCCGACGCAGGCACATCATCCCCACCGCTATCAAGGAAACTCTCCTCGAGAGCACAGCACACGGCCTCTTGTTCCTGTAAGCCCTGGCTGAGCCGTTGGTATAGCCGTGTCGGGGCAAAGGGGGTGAGAGCATGGTCCATCTCGGCTTGTTTGGCCCTCCACTGGCGCTCGAGAGCATGGGTCGACAGAAGCTGGGCTTGGGTCAACGAGCGCTGGTTCGCGAGGCGTGCTTCGAGGTTCAGCAGCTGAGCTGCCCGTTGCACGTTCTCGGCCAGCGCGGACTGCAACGCGTCATGCGACGCCTGCAAAGAGGGGTGGATGGTTTCCGGTGAATGTGTCAATGCAGAGAGAAGCGATGGGTTGGAAAGAATCTCAGCGAGATCTTGCTTGCTATCCAGCAACCAGATGGCGTCAGCCACTGAAGTATCGATCCAAACATTCAGACGGAAAGACTCACGACTTGTCCTGCAGGAACTTGGGCAGCCATTGCTCGCCGGGGTCTGGGATGGGTTGCCCGGCGGAGGCCGAGCCTACATGTTGAAAGCCATCGGCACCGGGACCCCCTGTCTCCGGACGTTGGAGGAGCCGTGGCGACGGCGACGTTTCCGGGGTATTTATGCTTGTCGTCTCGTGGCTTCCTGATGGCTTAGGCGGTGGAAGAGGTGGTGTGTGAGAATACATCCTGTTCGTTGTTTACGGCTGTTTAGGGACAGCCGAATTTGCTGGTGTTTTGAGATCCCAGGCCAGAGTAACTTATATATATATTTATATTTATACCGGCCATGGAAAGAAGAGATGAAGTACCTGGTCTCGCGCAAGAGTATGTTAGGTACCTCCCGGCTTTTAACGTGTGTTATGCAGCCAAGGTAGATGCACTTCGTAGTAGGCTCAGTCTACTAGTACGGTAGGCACAAGTAGTCACGCGTAATTGTGTAATGACCGTACAAGGAAGCGTGCTAACATACGCTTACCGGTACATAACGGACTCGTAGCGGAAACCTTCGACTTACGTCATCAATACCGTCCATCAACTCCATGGCTTTTTTAGTGGCATGTGTATACAGATTACAGTAACCGCTCCATTGCTTGTTATGAAAGGAAATATACATAAAGTAGCTAGTGCTCAGTCGGCTATCAAATGCGATTACCACATATTATATTCTTTTGCCATTACGATCTACCCTGCATCCAGCCCAGCCTGCTATCTCAAGACTAACAGCCAACTAACAACCATATATCAACTAAACCAAACCGAGAAGGCCGGTCGTCCGTAATTCGCGCCATGGATTTCCTCATATTCGCCTTACGCGTCAAGCTCAACATAGTTGGCGGGGAAGAGACCTGACGCTCCATTGTAGTGGCCAAACCACCAGTCATCATCGGGAAACTCCAAACCCGTAATCGTAGCTCCTTCGGGGAAGCTCAACTCTATACCAATTCATTAGTCACTGCTAGGCCTTCGATTTCGGCGTCTTTTATACACCAGGCTTGCGAGCATCACTTACCATTATCTTCCGCAGCCTCGTAATCAAACTGCGCCGTCGCTGTTGGACCAGCGACTTGACCGGCCGGAGTTGCGGCTGCTCCCGCTCCGGCCTGCGAAGGTACAGCAGGAGCTTGAGTTGCTGCTGCTGTTGGGGCCGCACTGGAAGCAGCAGCAGGCTCATCGTCTTCCACTACTTCCACGTAGTTGCTAGGGAAGAGTCCACTCTCCCCTTGCGCGTTGGTTCCCATCCACCAGTCGTCATCCACCATCTGAATGTTGGTGACATACTCACCTTCCCGGAGATCAATCTCATTGTCCTCGGCCTTCTCGTAGTCATACTGTACCAAAGCACGCTTGCCGCCGTCTGAACCAGCCTGCTGAGCCTCGACATCGTGACCGAGAGATTCGCTAGCAACATTCAGGGCGGCAGCACGCGGATCGTGACTATCCTCCTCCACGGGGAGGTCCTCTTCTCTCGGTAGTTCCTGCGGAACGGGCACCGGACGGGGTGGCAGGCTGCCCGCTGGCTCCACCTCAGGCACTGCGCTCCGAGCAACTGGGACTGCGATGCGGACAGGTGAGGAAGGCTCTTCTTCGTGTGCACGGACTTCTTCTTCCAGCTCTCTTTCATCGTTCTCTTCCTCGGCGTCAGCAACAGGAGGCCGGGATGGCAAGCCAGGGAGAGCAAAGCCGCCGGAAGGACGGCTTCCGGTTGGCAGGGGCGGCGGAGCATGCTCTTCCTCGCCAGAGGCGAGGACAGGAGAAGGCACACTTGGTGCGGACCGTGAATTCGTGTTGGCCGCCATGGGTGCTGTATCCTTGAATCTATCGCGCAGGGCGGATATGCCGCCAGCCGGCGAGGCAGGCGCTTCAGGCTCCGATTTCTCTTGCGAGGCGCTGCCTCCGGTGGTGTGTGTTTCAACACCACCTCGGCTGTAATTGGGTGCCTGCACCGCCCAGCTCTTCCCAGCATAACCGCTCTTCCATTCGCTCCCACTCTTCTGGGCAGCAATAGGGGCAGCGGTGGCAGAGGGCGTGGACACGGGTGCAACTGCCCCGCCTTGCTTGGCCTTTTTCTCGGCCCAGATTTGGGCCGGCGTCTTGCCTCCCTGGTCAGCAAAAGTTCTGCTAGCAGCCCCAACAGGAGGCACGGCGGGAACCGCAGGCAAGCCGTAACCGAGAGGAACCGGCGTAGGAGCTTTGGTGCCGGTAAATGCAGCGCTGCCCACAAACTTCTTGGCAACCTTGGGCTTGGGAAGTTCGGTCAAGCGTTCTGCTTGCGTGAATGCGGCAGTCCTCTCTGCCAGGCTCTTGGGTGTCTCCGATTCTTCGGGTTCAGCGGGACGTTGTTGAGCCTTTGCGCGAATGGCAGCGATATCAACCTTGCCCACCGGTTCGTATGCTCCCTTCACAGTGGCAGGCCGATCATCTTGGGTCTTCTTTGCTTGGGCGCGGAGAGCAGCAATATCAACCTTTCCAATGGGCTGGTAGCCACCCTTGACAATGTCCTCCGGCCGGTCATCTTGCTTTTGGATTCCCTCAGAACGCGAGTCATCTTTGTTCTTCCTGAGTTCGGCAATGTTGACCTTGGTCGGCTGGTAGGCAGACGCCACCTTCTCCAGCTGGGTTCGAGTGACTGGCGGAGCATCGGCACCCCAGCCGTCCTCGTCCTCGCCCCCACGATTCCGGGTCCGCGCCGCAACAATAGGGTTGAAGGAGCCGGCGGATGTAGAGGTAGTCGGGGTAAACACGGGCTTCTTGGCAACGGGAGGCGGGGCAGCGGCTGACACGGGTGCCGAACCGCCGGCAGTATACTTGGCGCCTGATGCATCAGCGACCTTTTGCACAATGGACTCGGGAGAAAGATCTCCGTCGGAGCGTGCTGTTATCTGAACGTGGTAGCCGTGAAGGATCTTGGAGACGGCGGCAAGTGGCTGGTAAAGTACCCCTTTGTTCGCTCGGGGACGCCACCGCCGCACCAGGCGATCAAGACGTTTTTGGGGAGTCCACTGTTGGGGTCCTTGACTTTGACGAAGGCGAATTGAATGCGGCCTTCGTTGAAATCCTCGATCAGGTCAGAAAGCTCACCATCTGTGATGACGAATGGTTAGTCGGGGCCATGGCTAAGGTGGTAAGGAGAAGTTGTGGGCCGGCCTGGCACTCACCGCCAGTGCTTTCGACCTTCAGGATGCTCTCCTTTGCCCCAGAGTCTTGGAAGGCATTCAGAAGAGGCGCCTGGACGGAAAAAAGGGCCCAGAGGGCGTAGGTGGAAGATGCTGAAGATGGCGCAGGGCCGTTGACGACGCCCTGATAGCTACTCTTGATGGAGGGCCCATTGATGGACAGGTTTAAGGAGGCCATGGTGGGCAGAGTGGCCGGCTGTGTGGAACGGAACGGATGGGTAACGACACAAAGGAGCTGGGGTTGAACAATCGGGAAGGTTGTGAATTATTGAAAGCTGCAGCAACGGCTACGGATTGTTGGTGATGTAGACGTCGGTCGGATCGGGGTTTGGGGATCGAGAGAGAGATGGAGAAGGTCCGGGTGTTGGAGGAGATGCATGGACGACTAGAGGTACGCAGCGCTGGAGTTAGGCCCAGGTACCTCTCTCTACTAAGGTAGGTAATGGAGGTGGAGCTTCAACTGCGCAACATACGTCAATAGGTACGTACACTACAGTATACACTAAAGGTGTGCTTGTGCTGGCCGGCAAAGTCTGGGGCGTTGCGATGGGGACTTCAGTTGCACCCAACGGCATGGCAGCTTCGTACGACGTTCGAGGCGGTGCAGCGTACCTGGCAGGCGAGCTACTGTGTAGATAGTTCTGGTACGTAGTGTAGACGGGACGGATCGATTGGCTGACTGACCGACTGCTTCCAACGAACCCTGTTGGCTAGACCGGCCTTCCCTTGTAGTGCAAACTGATGTTGAGGAGGGTAAGGAAACGTAACGAGTGATACAGCAGGTGTAAGATGCGCAAAGTTACGAGGTGAAAGCCGAGCAGACAAGAGCGAACAATGTGTGTGGTAGAAGCTTTGTCATGGTTTGACTCGTCCTGGTTTCACCCGAAAGCCATAGCTATTGATAGAAGATGCAAAGCTAACACTGAGGGGTGCAACCCATCGTTTGTTACATATATAAGAGATATGTGCTATTGCGTATTGGTATAACTCTTGCTGACCTACACGGATCCCTTGTTGCAGCCGCACATCCTACACTTTACACGGACCCTTGAATCGGCTTCAAGTACCTTCACGCAGCATCTAACAAGCAAGGTACTTCATGAGGTAGCCAAGTAGTACCTGCGTTCCATCGCCTACCCAGAGTGGTAGGACACCACACAAAGTACCTGCTAGACCACGGCATCACCCATCTCTACCCATCTTTAACCTTTTTCGACAGTGACAGGCAAAAATGGCTTAGGTCGTGGGTGTTCAGACTGCGGTATCCTGAGATAAAAAGGAACAGACCAACAGAGACCATGAAAGAGCTTCAAACTAGTCATAATATTACTCAAGAGTATTAACGTGAACCTGACCCAGTCAGGGCCCTTCTTCCCCTCCGATGTCTCTTGGTAAAGAAAATCGAGGTAATCGCTAATCATTGCCCAGTGCTTGCACACATATCCACAACGCCCCTTAACCCTCCCCCAACCAAGAATATGATTGACCATCAAATGAGTATACTGCCGTCCGCTGACAGACAACAACCCATGGACGGTAATATCGGTGGTCAGGGAATTTGCCGTTGCCAATCCAGCTGACGAATCTTGCGGCCATCAATCTCGAGTATTGGTGTGTCCGTGTGTTGTGCGCATGTGTGTGGTATTGCGCATGCATTGCGCCCATGTTGCTCCAAGAGTAATTTCCCTTGGAGATTCGTGTTCAAATCCGTCTTCAACGGTCAAGATGGCGATGCCTGTCCTCACTCTCTTAACAGCACTCGGCGCAGCATTCGCAGCAGTCAGCGCAGCATTCACAGCATTCGGCGCCCACGAAGCAGCAGCAGAGAGCCGCGATGCACCCTTTGAAGCATCCGTCCCCGCCGCTACTCTGCTGAGGAGGAGGCTGTTGTTGATATTGCATTTGACCTTGCGGGGGGTAGTAACCTTGTGGGGGAGGCTGACCATAAGACTGTAATCGATCATAGCCGGGTTAGCTTTTGCGGTTTGACGCAGTGGACTTGTCGACTAGGACTCCAAACTGACCTGCTGGGGGTATTGGGGATATCCCTCCTGAGGAGGCGGCGGTCCATATCCCTGTGGAGGGGGGCCTTGTTGGTAGTATTGTTGAGCCGACATGTTGGTTGGTGCTAGGGTTGATGGTAGGCACTTCAGGCGCGTAGAAGCAGATAGGTATTACGATTGCCACCAGATTAGGGAAGTGAGGATCAGGCGGTTGCGATTACGACTACTGCGATGGGGGTGTTTGTGGTATGTATATCGGGGTGGCCGGGGACGCAGACGGAGGCGGCACTTGACGAAAAAAAAATACGGGCAGGTGAATAGAAGAACGTGAACGCGGGGCGGTAAGGCGGCGTTTGGACGCGGGAGCGATGAGACGAATATAAATACTCGGGAACGGGGGCGGATGAGATGATGATGGCTGACAGGAGACAGACGCAGGTGCAAATGGAACATGGATGGCCGCTTTTTCGTTCCAATCCGCGGACCCTGATAACCCTGACACCTCAACCTGACACACTGCACCTGACACTGACTGCAGCTTCCGGGAGCGGGAGCCCTGCGCCTTCGAGCCGACCTTGCGGTCGGCGTGGCAGCGATCCAAGCCCGCCAAGAGCGTCCAAGCCCGAGTTAGTGGACTCGTGGGTAGCGAAGCGCCCTGATGTGCAACAAAGAGTGGAGCGGAGCGGAAATAACGTGCCGATCTGATCAGACGCCCAGCTCCGGCAACGTCTGTCGTCTCGTCGTCTACAGTGGACAAACAGCAGCATAGCGTCTTTTGACTGTTGGTTGGACCAACATGGCTGAGAGCTGTCGATGCGATGATGCGACTTCCGGTTATTAAATCTTTATGGCAGGACGGGAAAAACACACATAAGCAAACAGTTTGTTTGAGTAGCTATCTGATATACATTTGCACTATGTCTACCTAGTAAGGAAATCTATAAGCCGGCACTATACACAGTATGTAGATACCTATGTTTCATATTACTTCTCATACGCAGCTGCCCTCCTTGTTCTGCCTCCTTTTATTTATCTGAACTACAACACAGCGTAAGTGAATGGATTATGGTTCCATCTACCTGCTTGTTAATCTCCTCAAAAAGTAACTGCTAGGATTAGGCTGTGGTCGTCGGATGAACATGTGAATGCATGGTTTTCCGAGAACATCTCCAGCACCAGGTGGGGTGGATCGTGGGTGGTTCTCGTTCTACTGTAAGATACCGTACATGGACTGTAACAGCAGTTGCGTTTCCTCTTGGCCCGAGCCGTCAACTCCACAACAAAGCACACGTCAATCACTGCAACCGGGGCGCAAGCCGGCCAGACTCATTACTGTGGAGAAATTGTGTACCTGCATACACACTACATAAAGCCATCTATGTATATAGCCAGTATTACGTTTGTTTGACACCAATACGTGTGGTTTGGGTGGTTTGAGTGCTTGTAGGTCTTGCGCTAAGTAATGTACAATCGATACATGTGGTGCGTACTATAGTGGCCTGCACCTTACAGGTAAAGCGCACCGGCGCCGCGGGGCTCGCCCGAGAGCCACGAGGGGCAAAGGCCGAGTTCGCTGACGTTTTTTGGGCCATGGATGATGGATTACTGTACCGCTACTGTAAGTAAACTCGCCGCCAACTCGGTATATCCAACCAAGCGGTCCACATTGGGCACTGGGGAACTTTCAGGTTCCTTACCAAATCCGTTTCTCTTGGTCACCATCCTCAAAATACTTGGATCATACGCGCGACACCGATACCCGTGATAAACAGTCACCCAACCAGACCTCCTCGAAACTCTCCCCGACCAGATCTGAACCGCGCGAACCCGCATCATGTCGACCATCAAGGACATCACCAGCATCGAGGCCTGGAACCACCATGTTTCGTCGTTGCCGCCATCCACCCTCCTGATCGTCTCCTTCCACGCGCCCTGGGCGGCGCCCTGCGCCCAGATGGCGACAGTGCTCAAGACATTGGCGAGCGAATACCCCGTTACCGAGCCGCTTTCCACCTCGTGGGTCTCCATCGACGCCGAAGAACTGTCTGACATTAGCGAAACGTACAACGTAACGGCCGTTCCCTTCCTCGTGCTATCGCGTAATGGCCAGGTCTTGGAGACGGTCAGCGGAAGCAGCGCCGTCAAGGTTCGAAACGCGATCGAGACCCATGCCAACAAGTCGTCGGGCGCTGGAGCTAGCGAGAAGACATCGGTCGCCGCAAATGGCGCCGCAACTGTTGAGGGCCAGGCCGGCGACGTTGTGCCTCAGGACCCCGAGAAGCAAAAGGAGGAGCTGTTTAGACGTCTGGGTGACCTGGTCAAGGCCGCCCCGGTCATGCTGTTCATGAAGGGTACCCCCAGTGAGCCCAAGTGCGGCTTCTCGCGACAGCTGGTTGCTATTCTCCGAGAAAACGCCGTCAAGTACGGTTTCTTTAACATTCTAGCCGACGACGAAGTACGACAGGGTCTCAAGGAATTTGCGGATTGGCCTACTTATCCACAGCTTTGGGTCGACGGTGAGCTAGTGGGAGGACTCGATATCGTACGTGGACCATATTCTGTGACGTCCTACGGAAAGCGGACTAACTATGAATACAGGTCAAGGAGGAGCTGGCGAACGACGCCGACTTCTTCAAGCCATATAGTGTCAAGGCGAACGGCGATGCGTCTGCGGCGCAGTCCTAGGTTTCAACATGCACGGAAGCTTCCTTGCTGGGAAGGGAAACCGCTGTATATATATTCTTGAGCGACTGTCATGTATGTCCCATCTGGCTTGGCCTTGATCAGTCTCTCAGGTACCTGCGGCTCAAGATGATGCAATGGAATACTGGCTATAGAAGGCCGGTCACAATACTAATTCCACGAAAAAAAACAGCCTAAAGCACAAGACTTTAATGCACAGGGATGGAAGGGGCTGGTTGGCCGAAGACGAATTAGGACCACTGCTGAGATAAGAGACGGTATTGATGAGTCACACAGCAAGATACCGCTAAGCGACGTTCATGGTTTGTCAACGGTTAACTGACTGCCAGGCATACATACCATGACGGTGTACGTTAGAGCAAGGTGTTGCGCTTGTCGCCGGATCGAATAATGTAACATTTGTTTTCCTGCCTGTACTCCCAAGTGGTCGCAATAGCAGGGCAAACTGCCCAGTGGCCATGGACGGTCCAATAGTACTGGTTCTGTGTGAGCTTTGGTTCGCTGGATATATGCTGTTTATTTACTAGATACCATTATTTAGTCTTTGGTGATGCAATTTTGGCAATGCGTGGTAGGGACTGAAGGAAGAAGACGGAATGAGGCGCTAACGAACATACAGGGGTGTCTCGTGCTCGACACGTTCGGTCTTTTGTTGCAATACTCTACTCGACTGCTTACTGGTCGAGGGGAGTGTTCTCGACGCGAGGTCCCGTCATTTGCTTACGTTCAATAACCGCTGCTACCTAACCAATCTAGCTTTTATTTTGCTTATGACCCTACCCCTCCTCAATTCTTCCTGCCCACGATAAACGGTCGACCGCATGCATTCGAGGTCGTGTACCTGGACCTTTCAGTATTATAAGACTGCTATGTGCTCGTGTCACCCTACTTTAGGACGGTAACCTGCAGATATCATGAGGCTTCGACAAAGATCAGGCAGCTGCCCACAACGTTCCCTCAGCTTGTCCCTTTTTGAAAAGCCAACTCCACCACAATCAACTCGGCTCGGCCCCCTCTTCATCGGAGACACCTAGGTGATTGCCCGATCAAACGCGGTCCCTCACATATCTGCCCTGGTGCCACGATCCTTCAGCGCCGAAACCCTCTTTCGAATCAGCTTATCCAACGCGGCGGATCATGACGCCCACACCACCGTCGACAACCTCCTCGGGCGGCCGCTCCCCCGAGGAGCAGTATCGTGTTGTCCGAAAGCGGAACAGAGTACCGCTCAGCTGTTATCCTTGCCGATCAAGAAAGTGAGCCACTCCATCTTCCCGTGGACGGCGGTCTCTATAAGTTATCCCTTGACTAACATAATCTGACCTAGGTTGTAAGCATCATGACCAGTAACTCTCTGAACGGCCCTCCCCGTAAGACCGTCTTTGATGATGCCTGGTTGCTGAAAGAATACAGAAAATGTGACAGAAATCACCCTTGCGGAAACTGCACCAAACGAGGAGGGACAGATGCCTCGTGCTTCTATGCCACGCCGCCGGCCCGGAAAAAGAGTCAGGGCCAAGCAAGCGCCTCTCCCGACGACATGCAGAATCGCATTGACAGGCTGGAAGGCTTGGTTCTGTCACTTGTGCATGGTGGTGCAAATATTGAACTGCCCCCGGCCGCTGCTGCTGCAAACGCTGCGGCTCCAGCTGGCGGACATGCTAGAGGACAAGGTGCTGGCTCGACGACAACTAGCGGCTCTTCGGCCTTCTTACACACCGACGAAGACGACGGCGTTATGCAAGATGACGAGGGCGAGAGTGACATCGACGATGGGCTGGCAACCTCTCTAGGCGTTCTAAAGGTGGATGCTGATAGGGGAAAGTCCATGTATATTGGACAAGGCCACTGGCATACCGTTCTGGCGGACATTGCCGAGGTTAAGAACTACTTTGCGCTTCACAAAAAGGACCTGGAGAAGAGCTATGAAAAAGTGATGCTCAGCAAGCCACCCACAGCTTGCGAAGGCCTCAGCTTTCTTTTCGAGTCAACACCTGCTACCCAGGTCGAGCTGAGGGCCGAGTTGCCTCCCAAGTCGACAGTCTTGACCCTTTGCGGAAGGTACTTCAATTCGATGGATAATGCCGTTAATATCATTCATCCACCCACCTTCCACCAGCAACTCCGCAATCACTGGCTGGATCCGTCTCGGACACCCATCATGTGGTTAGGCCTGCTCTACTCTGTCATGTGCTTGGCCATGTTGAGTTATCACAAGGTTGGCGACGAGCCGCCTGAATGGAAGGGCCGCACACTTGAAATGGCAACCGAGTACCGACTCCGGACAGTTCAGTGTCTCCGAGTAGGTGATTATACGAAGCCGACCGAGTATACCGTGGAGACAATGATCCTCTACCTCTTTGCCGAACATTCGTCCCGGTGGGATGCCGACGTCGGCCTGTGGTTGATTATGTCACAGGTCACAAGAATTGCCTTTCGTATGGGCTATCACAGAGATGCGAAATGGTTTCCCTCTTTTACCCCTTTCCAAGCTGTAAGGCCAACCCTTCTTTTTTTTTCTTTTTTTTCTTTTTTGTTTACTCAAACTAGGACGGCTGTACGCCGTTTGACGGGGGACTCTTACATGACTTGCTTAGCTAATTCTCCTGCTCGCTTTTTTTTTGCTTTGCCGTTTAGGAAATGAGAAGAAGAACGTGGGCATTAATTAGGATGTGCGACGTATTCTTCTCGCACCAGCTCTCTCTGCCTACCATGATCTACGACCACGACTGCGACACTGACCTTCCACACAACTTGGCCGACGAAGATTTCCAGCCAGACACAAAAGTGTTACCCCCACCGAAACCAAACACGGAACCTACCAACATCAGCTACATGATTGCCAAGGTCAAGCTCGCACTGGAGCTGGGCAACATATTGCAGGCAACAGGTCGTATTCGAAATCCGGTACATTACGATGAAGTTCTTCGTTTTGACGCGAGACTGCGTGAAATCAAAGCAAATTTGCCTCCACACTTACAGTTCCAACCCCTCTCGGGTTCTCACGATCCGTTAACGCTAATTATTGCGCGGTTCAATATCGACATCCTGTTCCAGAAAATCATCTGTCTTCTTCACAGAAGGTACATGTCAAAGGCGACACAAAACATCAGATATAACAGCTCTCGGCTAAGGGCAATCTCAGCTTCCCTCGAGTCCCTGGGCCATCTGGCAACGCTCCACCGTGAATCACAACCAGGAGGTCGGTTTCGCTCCATCAAGTGGTTTGTGAGCTCTATCGCAACCAAGGATTTCCTTCTTCCCGCCATGCTGATCGTGCTGGATCTACATTATGACAACACGTTCCGCCGAACACAAACCGTACCAGCAAGCCCTCCTTGGACTTCAGAGCAACGTGCCGAGATGATCAAGAGCCTTGAAGTCACCCGCGACATCTGGAAAGGACTGGCAGATGAATCCATGGAGGCTCTCAAGGCATTCAAGGTTCTAGAGATCATGCTGGACAAAATCAACGGCATACCATCCTCCGAGTATCCTGCCAACGCGACCGAGATCCCGACAACGGCAGAAATGACAGAGTTCTCAGACCCAGTACAAGAGATGCGGCCAGAGCACTCGGCTGCTATAACGTTGGGTATGCTCTCAAGCGGTATAGATGCAAGGCCAACCTCACCAACACGTGCGGCACAAAGTCTTGAGGGGCCCAACTATTCTTTACTGAACATGAACCTCGGCCCCGACCCAGCGACTTCTGGTGCAGGCTCCTTGAGCATGGGCCTGACGCCAGATTACCTAAGTGACACGATGGCTGGAATCGGCGACACATCTCCGTTATCGTCACTGTTTGGTGCTGGGATGGAAAACAGTACGCTGGACTTTACAACGAACTTTGATTGGGTGGGTTCACATACGCTATGGACATTGAGGGAAACTCCATCTTGCTAATGGCGGACTACAAACAGAATTCCTTCGAAAATTACACTCAAACTGCGCACTGGGGGACTGACCAGCCCTTTCAATTCTTTTCAGGAAACGGCCCTGACCAGCCCTTCTTTCCAAATAGTGAGGAGAGGCAATGGCATGGCAACGGCTAGTTCATAGCTTGGGTGTCGTTCGGTGCTATTTTTTTTGGTTTTTTGGGTTTGTGCCAAGCACACAATTTGTACAGTGAACCTCCATGAACTCCTCTCACCAACTGAGCCAATTTCAAGTTTTTCGGATTTAAAGTGTCGAGCTTAAGTGTTCCTTGGCCAAGGAAGGTCTCTTCTTGCTACGGATATGGCTCAGCAAGTGCCTTTGAATGAGATGGTTAATCCAAATTATTGACGGTTTTCAGCGTAGGATCGTTCGATCGGAGCAGAAAAGATTGCTGTGGGATTGGAAGGAGTGAGGGAATCGTCGTGAGGTACACTGAAAGCATGATCACATGAACAGATTAAAATGCAGAATGTCTTGTCGTGCAGGGTTTTCAAGCAACTGTAGGTACGTCACTGTCACTGTAGAAGCAAGCGGCATTCTGTCTTTTTTTTCTTTTTTTTTCTCTCACTGGTAGCCATCTACAACCATAAGCAGGGCCGAATAGATAGCGACCTAACCGGAGCTTTTGCTCGGTATATATCAGGTGAGGTTGCGATGGATGGCTGCGCGTACAAGATCTGATACACAGTCGGCATTCGATTCTTCCCCGCAAATCGCCAAACACCGTTACAGCCGGCCCGTGGTCGGCCGGATGTTCACCAACACTGTGGTATTCGGGCCTTCTACCTCATTGGCCTCCCCACATTTACGATTCCCTTACCATAGTCTAGGTCTTAAAGAATCTGGGGTGTGACGTCTGGGGTCACCACGCTGAGCCAGAGATGCGTAGATGCAGTGGCCTCTCCATCATCACCGAACACCACCTCCGTCTTGTGTAGCCAGACAAGTGGAGGACCTCACGAAAGGAGCCTCACATTCCGTGGACAGTTCCAAGCTTCCGAGGTAAAGGCGTCGAGAGAACCTTTGCATACACCCTCACTCACACAGTTTCACGGCCCGAATTGGACCTGGACATGGAGCATGAGGCGTCTTGGAGGACTCAGGCTCCCTCATCGCTTGAGGCTTAGACATCTCAAGCTCGTCATTTGGCTGGCCAATACAGGCTGGTCAAGTATCAACTTTAAGGTCAAGATGGCATATAAAGAAGGTCTGGGTCGCCGCTCGGAGAGAATGGCGGTAAGCTCTACTCACTGACGATAAGACAATACCGACCTCCGGTCTTGAATAGGTATTGACGCTTCAACTATCACTGTTCACCAAAATGAGGCTCCAGAATCAACTGAGTGTTGTCCTCGGACTATTGCTCTCAGCAGCAGTGCAAGTCGGAGCTCTTAAGTCTTCCGAATGGTATGGAGAATGGCGTTGACTACATGCGAACATATGGACTGACAAAATTATCTTGTAGGCGAAAGCAATCCATATACCAGGTCGTGACAGATCGTTTTGCTCGGAGCGATCTGTCAACCAGCGCGCCATGTGACACATACCAGCAGGTCTACTGCGGCGGGTCATGGCAGGGACTGATCTCGAAGTTGGACTATATTCAGGGAATGGGATTCACTGCTGTCTGGATTTCACCAGTCGTCAAGCAGATTGATGGAGTTACTAAAGATGGGTATGCTTGACCCTTATGAAGTGCCGGGACCGCCATATAGCACGTTACAGATACTGACTGGACAACTTCAAACTCAGGTCTTCTTACCATGGCTACTGGGCTTCGGATATTTGGTCCTTGAATCCCTCATTTGGCACAGCAGATGACCTCAAGGCGCTCTCCAAAGCACTTCATGACCGCGGCATGGTAAGATTTTCCCTTTCCACGTCTGACCGAGAAGTACACTTGAGCGGTTGAGATGTGACTGATCAAGAAGTTAACATGGTGATCAGTATCTCATGGTAGATGTGGTCACCAACCACATGGCGTACTTGGGCTGCCGCTCGTGCGTCAATTATCGGGGTTTTAGTCCTTTCTCTTCCGTAAGTGGTAGCAAGTGGAAAGCAAAAGAGTGGAGGGAGATGCTGAGAAAGACCATCTAGCAATCTTACTATCACTCCCCATGCACCATCAATTACGATAACCAAACCTCGGTTGAGACGTGAGTAAATCAACCCCATTCTCTGTCATCTGCTTCGTCATTAGAAATTTGATTAGGCAGACACTAACGAATGGAATTCAGATGCTGGCAGGGAAGTGATGTTGTCAGGTACGTTTTTCCGTCACTGTAAGACAGTAACACAACGTGTTTGTGAAGTCAAATACCCAATCTTTTGGCTTCACGAGCGGAATCCGTTGGTCTTACTAACGTCCTATACGTACACATAGTTTGCCAGACCTCAAGACTGAAAAGTAAGCCGAAACTGTGCCGCATGCCGTTGATGAAATTCGCTAACACGATGGCCGCAATAGCGACGACGTCCGCAAGATATGGAACGACTGGGTGTCCAAGATCGTGTCAACGTATAGCATGTATGTGTCCTCCTTTACCCTTCTGTCATGATCGTGACGGACAAGGCACTATCTTCTGGGCGTTAGTTAACCCAAATGCCACAGCGATGGGCTTCGAATCGACAGTGTCAAGCACGTTGAGAAGTCCTTCTGGCCAGGATTCGAGTCCGCTGCCGGCGTGTACGCAATTGGAGAGGTGTTCCAAGGGGACCCAGCGTATCTAGCCCCATACCAGAGCTACATCAGTGGGCTCTTGGATTATGCAAGGTAAGAGGAAACCAAATACTTCTTAAGATCTTTCTTGGGATTCTTGCTTACCAGGGTGATTTTTGTCCCATACAGCTATTATTGGACAGTAAATGCATTCCAGTCGACAAGCGGCAGTATTACTGCGCTGGCCAACGGCATCAACACACTCAAAGCTGCTGGTATGGCTAACGTCCTGGCATATTTCTCTCGTTCACACTGATGATATGGTGTAGCGATTGACCTTAGTCTTTATGGGTCGTTCCTCGAAAACCACGACCAGGCGCGCTTTGCGCATAAGACTAGTGATATGGTGAGACCCTCAAGCGTCAGCTTCTAATACCTGCTAGATATCGTGGTTCGTCCAGTTGCTGACATGGGAACTCTCTCTACCGCAGGCTTTGGCGAAGAACGTGAGTTGCTCCTTCCCTCAGGGATGTTCGTTCCTGGCTGCTCTTGCTGCTTCATATCTGGGAACACTTCCGTACCTACTCAAGGTACATTTACTGACACCTCCGACAGGCAATTGCCTTTACGATGCTCAAAGACGGTATGTACACCTTGCTTCCAGTTGCACACGTGGTATTTGACGGGCTTTCGGCTGATAAGATCGAATTTCTTCATCTGTTGTAGGCATTCCGATCATCTATCAGGGACAGGAACAGCATTACGCGGGCAGTGATACTCCATACAACCGAGAGGCCCTCTGGCTTTCTGGGTATTCAACCAACTCAAACTTGTATACGTGGATCAAGAAGCTCAATCAGCTTCGCACCCATGCCATCAGCAAAGACGACAGCTACCTCTCATACCGCGCATATCCCATCTACTCCGACAGCCACACCATTGCCATGCGCAAAGGATCCTCTGGCAAGCAAGTTGTGGGCGTCTTCACCAATGTCGGGGCCTCATCCTCCACCACCGTCACTCTGTCTTCGTCAGCGTCGGGTTTCAGTGCAAACGAGCGAATTACCGATATCGTCAGTTGTGATAGCTTCACCACTAACTCAGCAGGCAGCATAACCGCCACACTTTCTGGCGGGCTCCCGAGGATCCTATATCCGACAGTGGTTCTGAGCGGCAGTGCGATTTGTTCTTCACTGTCAACTCCCACTTCAACCGCAAGTACAACGTCGTCGTCGGGTAAGCTTCATATCTGGGATTTCTGCAACCGAGAATGGTGCGCAATAGGGCTAATGAAAATACAGCATCATCATCCTGTGCTGCCACCGCGGTGCCCATCACCTTCAACGCGCTGGTTAGCACGTCCTATGGCGAGACAGTCAAGCTGTAAGTCCCGATTACGTCTCCCGTCGTCCCGTGATTTACATACCCTTTTAACCCCTGCTATACCGAACCATTGCAGCTAATTCAGGAGTAAAACATCGTATAGAACGGGCAACACGGCAGCTCTCGGTAACTGGAATACCGCCAACGCCGTGACGCTGGGCGCATCACAGTACACCAGCAGCAACCCGCTGTGGTACGCATCTGTCAATCTCGCGCCGGGTAGTGTTGTGCTGTACAAGTTCATCAAGGTGAGCAGCTCAGGGACGGTTTCGTGGGAAAGTGACCCCAACCACACGTATACCGTGCCTTGCGCAGCCGCCACGGTGTCTTCGACCTGGAGGTGATATGATAATTATGGTGGTGCCGATGGAGGGAGATGGAAGGAACAGGTGATTGATATTGGTGGTATGTAACAAACAGTTTAGGGGGAATGGTAAAAGGGGGCATGGGCAGTTGAGGAAGTTTTGAACTTTGTAAATATTTAGTCATGATTGTGAAGGGCAAAGTCGTTTCATAACTGTTGCCATAGCGCTGCCGTGGCATTTGTACACCTATCACAATGCTCCGATTTTGGGTATTTGACTGGCTCCTCAAACCAGATGCTGTTTCCTCCAGACTTTCAATATAAATGTGATTACATTAGGACAAGTTAAGAAAGAGAAGAATACACCGCTTGACCTAGACAATCATCCATTCTCATCCATATACCCACACATGGCTGTCTCCTAGGTCTATTGACCCGTGAGCCCGAAGAACTCCTTGGCTCTCTTCCAGTACGCTTGCCGATCGGGGGAATCCGTGGTGTGAATGCAGTCCGTAAGGTAGAGCAGGTAGCCCTCGTCGGTGCCCTTCCTCATCTTGGCCTTGACGTCGTCCGAGCATTTTCTTTCCAAGAACCAAACGGCAGAGTTGAAATTCTGGAAATCATCCGCTATGACGAGCTGCAAGATCTCCGGCCCTGACTTGCCGTCGATTGGCAAGTTAAGAGACTGCGCATACTCTTTGACAAACTAGATAGTCGTATTATGAACGGTCAGCCCAGGATGCATGTACACAAAGTAAGATTGATCAAAAGACTAAACAAAATTGGGAAGAGGGGTAAGTGACTGACTTCTTCCCCCATCATATTCGCAGTGCCTTGGGCGGGATTTCCCGGGAGCGGGAAGTGGTTCATCCTGTACTTCAAGTCTGCACTCTCGAGGCCAATGAGCGACAGCACCATAGCAATCTCGCCTGTGGTGCGCCGCTCGAGGGACTTGATCAGATAGGGAGCAGCCTGCTCCGGGGTTCTGCACTCATTATCGGCTGTGGTTCCTTTGCAAGTGGCTGAGAATCCAGGCATGATGGCTTTGATAGCATCCAGAGCATAGATGGACTGAGGTTTCGTGTCGACAGCACTGGCAACTTGAAGCCCAGCAAACAGGGCGGTGAGAGCGAGCTGGGTACGCATTTTTATGTGGATAGATGAACGAGAAGTCGTTGATAGTTGTGAGTGAAAAGCGAGGATTCTGTCTGGGCCGTCAAGGGCTGATATTGACGAGTCGGAACGAGTATGTGAGGGCTTCACCGGGGTATCGAGAAGGAATACCGATGAGGGGAAGGAGAAGAGGAGGACGAGGAGCCTTTGTCCAGCAAAAGCGATGGTCGACGAGTTATAAGCAAAAGAATATGGAAAAAAAAATATGATGGCCTTACTTCAACGTCTTGACGACCAATTGAGTGGAGGATCAGTCCCAAAAGGAGCAAACGGGGGAGTGAATGAAGGATTGGGACCACGGGCCTATCAAGTTGTCAGACAAGTTTGGACGAATGTGAAGGCCTAGTAACATGGGGAACTGGTGCCGGGGGCCTGGGTAATCACTTGCTAGATATAGCCTCATCCATGAATCGAGACCAGTAAGTGTACGTACCAACCTGCGCTCCATCCAGACTTCGTTCAACCCACCGACGTCCGCACAAGCCGCCGCAGCCCATGACAAACAAACCCTCCTGACAACGGGCTTTTGTTAGGCCCCACGCAGGCTCTTTGTCACTCGAACTTGATACATGGCACCCGAACAACTGGCGCTTGTTTCCTCTTTGATTCCCGGCCGTTGTCGCCAAGTGCTCACACAATTAGATCCCGCATCACCAACACTTCCGCTCGAGAGAGGACTATGGCGTACCACGACGCATGACGCCTGGCCTGTCGAGTCTGACGGCTGATTTTCTTTTTACGTCGGCAATCCCACAGCGAGCGGCGGCCGGCGTACAATGTCCTACAATGTGCAACCCATTGTTTCGAGCCACGAGCCTATAGCAAAGGCGAAGACGTCCCGGGGGCGGCTTTACCCCTGCATGGGCTGTGATGACATGTCTGCCAATCAGCATCGTGTTTCACCTCTTCCCGGGAGGCTTGGAAACCGCGGACCCCAGAAACACTCGCACTTTGTCACGGTAGCATCTGAAGACGCCGTACTGGTTGGGACAAAAACAAAATTGAAAGGACAGCCCCCGAGCCAACAAACCCAGCTTCTACCAATCTGACCATAAAACATGGCTCGGGAAGAACCCACAAGGGGCGCATGAGCCATTGCAAACCGTCGGACTATTTTGCTCACATGGGGTGACCGCAGGATTGCTCGGGCGAATGTGGACACCACGTTCAAACAAAGACCTGGCTTGCATTGACTACGAACCGACTACAACACAAGAGCATTGTACTTCGCAATTCTCCGACTCTTGAACGCCACATGTTCTAGACTACTGTGCCGTCTCACCAAAGCTGATGAAACAAACCTGCGGTACGTAACGGGCCATTGTCTCGTTCACCTTTTGAAAAAAAACTCAGAATATGGAATAAAGAAACCGAATCGATCACATGTGACTCTGGTATGCATGATGCTCGATTTTTGAGATGCGATAAACACGCCTCTACACGTGTAGTGTAGGAATGACCGTCACTGTAAATGATACCTAGAATTTCTCTGTACCTGGAAACCACTCCGTTGGAGCTTCTCTTTAAAACCTTCTTTTTGGATATCTTTCACCCCAACAACCCCCATTCTCTCCCCTTCTCTCGTCGCTTAACAATCGTGATATCTTGCCCCTCCTGGTGGAGCACCCACACCCTGAGATAAATACTGCAAAAACGATGTTTGAAAAGCAAGGTAATCTAAGGAAACTATTTCGAGAATGTGTGCGAAATCGACCGAAACCCTTTTACCCTTCGTATTTCAGATTGATCGCAAACAAAGCTAAAACCGACACATTCTGTGCCCAACTAGGCTCACGGGGCAGCGGGAAATCGAGGGTCATACTCCTCGTAGTAAGAATCCTCTCCACGGGATCCTCGCTGTGTTTCCTCTCTCATCACGGTACCGTGCCTAGTATATGCCACGGCTGGAGCGCCGCGCGAATCCGCGGCATAAACAGGCTGCTCGCTTTCAGCATATGGAACGGAACCGTAAGGATCCGCGTCCCGATAGGCCCTGCGTTCCACGTCGTGGAAAGATTGGGCTGCGGCTTCGCGTCGCACGGGGCGCCGGATCAGATACTCTCCTCGCTCGTCCCTCACTTGCACGATCTCATATGTGTCGGCAGGCGGCGCCGGCGGCGGTGGCCGTGAGTGAGCCCGGGCGTCCACCGGATTGCGAAAACACTCCGGTCTAGCGGTGTGATCATGATCATGATACTCCGACCGGAAAGGCCGGTCATATACCTCGGTGTCAGCGCGCCTTGGGAAATACTCTGGCACAACTGTTTGGGAACGATAGCGACTATACTCCAGCTCGTCGTTCAGGGGAGGTGCCCCAGCCCCAGGAAGATAGACCGGCGCAACCTGCTGCATCAACGGACTCCGATCTCTTCTCGGCGGCACCGACTGGTAACTAACACCGTACACCGGAGACCTCGAACGCCTGGCAACCTCATCGTAGCGGTTATAGATTCTCGTTGGAGGTGCGGCGCCCGAGGATGTGGCCATTCCGTGCTCGACGGTGTAAGTGCGATCACTCAAGTCTCTATGTTGGTGAGCAACTGCCGAAGGATGCCCTTGGTGCTGTAGATTCGGCACTTCCTCATGTCCAATAACTGACGAGGCTTGCAATGCCCGAGTGACTGCCATCAAAGGTCGTGGAGGCGTGCGAGTTGCTGGGTACTGAATTAATGAAGCTTCACGCGGCCGATCGGGATTTTCTCCAGCACCAGAGTTCTGGTACGAGGAATGTGGCTTGCCGGACTCGGTCCTGCTTGTACTCCATCCCCGATTCCACTCCTCAGTTCCCGCCTCAACCGGTTTGGATTCCTTGAAGGATGAACGGGCACTCTCCATGACTGGCTGAAGATTCCCACGCCTGTCCTGGTTATCCCTGCTTCTGATGTCATATGCAACCGAGCTGAAGTTTGGTTGTTGCTCCGGAACATAGCCATTCTGAGGAGCATCAGAGCGGCCATTGTTGAGGGTAGGTAGGACCATGTTGCCGGAGTCTCTGTCAGAAGGATGATTCGTCAAGGAATATTGCCGTGAGGCAGGAGAGCCACTGTATAGTTGTTCACGGCCGGCAAAGCCGTTTATCCCAGGTCCTGGAAACTCGATCTGCCTACCCCTAGACGGCACTGGGTAAGGTGAAGGGTACTGTTGAACAGACGAAGGACGGGTTTGAAAGAGCTGTGGCAGAGCCTCTGCAAGCATACCCCTTTGAGGCTCGCCACACGCTTTTAGTCTCGAGAGTGTATTGAGATTAGGGAGCAAAACCATATCCAGCACCCAGTCAAGCAGTGGGTGAACTCCATGGGCCTGCATAGGTTCAATATGTTTGGATTGGAAGTGATTGACCAGCTGCGGGAGAGAAAACGTCTTTCTCTCTTCCTCTACGTGCGCCGCATTTCCATGTCCAAGATGACAAGCTTTGCAAACCAGACCGTTCACGTTTCGCACAGGCCGCATATCCTTATTGTTGGAGAGACCGTCAATGAACATAGCAAAGGGAGGAGCCTCACCAAACCTTGCGTGAAACCGCTTCACGAGATGGTGTATCGTGACGAAGACCCTAATGCTGCTTGGCAGATCTCTGATGGCCCCAAGACTGTTCCAGATTTCGCGCGATGAACGAGCAACTTCCTCCAGCCTGACATGGTAGCCGTCGTGGTATCCAGGAGGTTGGATTCCAGGGTACGAGTTGTGAGCATTTGCCTGGAAAGAGTTGTAGTTGTAGGCTTGTGCCGCAGGTGACGGTGGCCCATATACTTGTGCCGGCTCGCTCGCAGTGTGGGGAGGGTACGGTATAGCCGAAGGCTGGTAAGGCGCATACAAGGGCGGCTGAGATACATAGGGCTGCTGCTGCTGCTGCGGTGGTGGTGGGGGCGGCGGCTGTCCATAAAAAGGCTGTTGTGGAGCAGGGGTATAGGGGCCTGGGGGGTAGGCTGGCGGAGGAATTGCCTGATATTGCTCTGGATATGGCGTTGTATGATATCCAGGTGCTGGGTATTGTTGATAGGGAGGAAACCCGGCGTGTCCATTCGTGGACCGGTAGTTGTGGCCCTGGGGCAAAACAGCGCCTCCCAACTTACCAACAAAAGGGGGTCGGAAGCCGTGGCTGTGAGGTGGTTGTTTGGAGGGGCGAGGATCAGAACGGAAAGGAGGGTACTGCGGCCACTCTGCCCTCCAATGAACAACGATAGTGCCCAAGCTGAGAGCAGTCGTGTGCTTGGCTGCGTAGTGCTGGATCACGCTGCGTAGTGCTGGATCACCCCCTCAAAGCCAAAAGTTTTCGAGTTTGCGTCACACCCATTGCAATAGAAAAGTTCCTTGCGGTATGACTCGGTATGAGGCTTGACCTTGGTGTCGAAAATCCACTTCATATTCTCCAAGGTAAGCTTCTGGGTGAAGGGGCCTTCCGGAGGATCAACCGGGACTTCCCGGCCAGCGGAGCGAGCAGTAGCGGCCTTCTCGGCGACCTCTGCGTAGAAACGTTTCCGTATGTGGCAAAGAACATCAACGGCGAACTTGGCGCCATTATCCCTTGTGACTTTCTTGCCTTTGCCCCAAGTCTCACGGATTGCTTCGTCAGCTAGACCGGCTATCCTGGCACGCAATGGCGCTTGCGTCTCTTCCCATTGTTTGTCGATGAACTCCCTCGCCTCCTTGGTGGTTGCCAAAGTCGCCTCGAGTTGACGACGCTCGGTGCGATCCTGCTGAACCCCATCTTTAAGCACAAAAAGTTCAGGGTGCTGGTGTTCTGCCTCGCCTCGTTGGATCAGGAGTCTGGGTTTAAGAAAATCCCAGTCCTTGTCTTGAAACGGAAGGACAATCTGCATGGCCGCTTCAAATGCAGGAAGATGTCGAAGGACATCGGGAGTAAGGGGAGGATCCAAGAGTAAAGCCCGTCGCTCAATCTCGGCCTTTCTGATTGCCTTGAGCTCAACGACCTCCTCAGCGGTCCTTTCTGGTCGTTGTTGAGCAGAGGCCTGCGTTAAGGCTACTTGTGCTCCGGCTGCGGGTGGAGCAGTTGGATAAGAGGTTGGTGATGCGGCAGGCGTTGCGGAGTTTGGAGTCGGGATGGAGGAGGCCTTGTTTTTAACATAGCCTGGATAGTATTCCGTACGCATCCTTGCGACACCACCTGACACGTACCATTTCTCCCATTTTGACGCTTCATTCTGCGCGTTCTTGCCGCGGTTATTGAGGCCCTTCATCCATTCGTCCAGGACACCAGGACCGAGTGCTTGGACGTCGTGGAATTCCTTGGTCACTTCCTCGACGTCGCTCGGGGAAAACAATTTTTGTTTCTCCGTGTCAGGCGTGTTGGACGGCTGAACACGGAGATCGGGGGTTACGTAGGCGAACGGTATTGCCTGTAGGACCGCGGAAGGCACGGACTGAGAGGCCATGAGATCGATTTCCTAGACGTATTAGCCTGTTGTGGGATCCTCCCGATTTTGGAGTAAACATACCTTCATCGAGGTCGTTACCAAGCAGCGGCCGCAGAGGCGACGAGCGAATGGCCAAATCACAGCAACACCATCCAAGCCCGGGCCTAGGCAAGGGCCAGGTGTTGCAGAAGAGCTGTCGGACTGGGTAGGCGGTTGCTTGTTGCATTTCTGACACGTTAAGGAGCAAGCAAGCCGCCACATATCGATCTCGGCCATGGACCGAAGGGGGGCAGGCATCTGTGGCCAAAAAAGCCGCCTGGAAAGCTGCCAGATGACATTTGGCTTAAGAACATCCAAGGGTCTCTTGCCGGCTGGAAGAGGAACTTCTCTGTTGACCAGTGACGACGAAGGATCAAGATAGAAGTTGAACAATTTGTTAACGCGTAACAAATTGCCCAGTGATCGTGGGGGGCAGAAAGTGAAGATGTGATGCCAAACCTCAGCAGACAACTGAGACTTGTCCCTTGGCAGCTTGTTTAATGTGACAGCTTGTCCGGCTTGTTCAGCGTCATCTTGCGCCAGCTTCACCTTCTTGACGCCCGCACTAGACTCAGAATAGTGCTCGGAATCGGCAGCATGCTCGCGAGTCTGGCGCTTCCCTAGCAACGACATTTTTGGGGCTTCTGCCATGCCGACGTCCGTCTCTGTCTGGCTTGGTACGGCGAGCGCAGTACTGGCCGCTGTTGATGGGCGAGATATCTCTACGGAGTCATTGCCATCTTGATCATCCCTCAATTTCGGCACCGAGCCCAAATGAACGTCTTCTCCATCCCCAGTCATGGTGACGACGCAGACGAGTACCTTGGCTGACGTTGCTGAACAAAAAAAGGAAACGATGTGATGACAACACGGACGGCGGAAACGAAAAGTATGTAGAGGTAGTATAAAAAAAGAAAGAGGAGAAGGACGGAGGTAATGTAGCAGTAATAGCAGTAACACTTGTCAATGGCAAGGACGACAACCTCGACAGCTCTGTAAGGTTGAGGAAGATCGGGTAGACCTAGTCCTTGCACACTGAGGAAAGCTTCTTTCCTTGAAAGGACGAAGAAAATGGGGAGAGTCCAGACGAGCACAGAGCTTCCTTTCTCTGTCGGAAGCTGAAAGCCAATCCACCGCACGGAAACGAGTCAACTCCAGTTCGGCGCCAAATCAGATGAAGGTCCGCGGATTCAGCGCTATCGTCGACGACTACCTAGATGTACCTTGCGAGTCTTGCGTGAAGTTAGAAGTGATGGATGGGCGAAGTCGGCCGGGGTGGGTAAAGGTATGGTAGCTTTCCTGCCGTCTGCGTCAGCTTCTGCCTTCAGATGACGGTGAGCGTGGTTGAAGGGCGACGGGGTGGAGAGGACTAGCTGAGGCTGAAGGTGAGCTGCTGAGGGGAAAGGGTGAAAGGTGAATGGATGGTGAATGGCAGAGGGCGCGGGGCAGTATTCGCACGAGACAGCCGCACTGCACCAGACACCAGACAGCCAAGCGCAGCCGCGATTGTCGAAACTGCTGACCGTGTTGTGATGGTGCTCGTGGCCGCGGCCTTTGCATGCACCTTGACAAGTTTTGTGGGAGACGAGAAGTGCTAAGCTTGGCGACCAGAAAATGACCTTGAGGGTGGAAAAGGTTGTGGTCAAGGAAGAAGTGAAGAAATGTCCCGTCGACGTATCCAGTAGGCAAAAGCACTTGATTGAAAGAAGTGATTGTTCGCGGCAGGAACCCTAAACGCAAAGGCTACCGTTAGGTACCTACAAGTTAGTAAGGTAGTGTAGTGCCTCGCTCCTGCCTGTTCGTCCGCACAGAGGCACCCCCTTGCAGCCAAGCCGTTACCAATTTCTCCATCTGCCTTGTGGCTTCCCGTATCGCTACCTACACAGTAGACTCAGAACATCATGGTCTGTGCGCCAAGACTCTTCGCCGGTTGCAGCCTGGCTTGTTGGACTATGTGGCCCGTGTGGTACGTGTCAGTGACTCTCCATATAATGTAATTGTAGGAAGGCACAAAGCAGACGGTCCTTCTTCTGCACGTTTCCTGCCTTTGACCACACACGCACTCACTGTAATTGCGAGTTCTGCCTGCGGGTGAAACTGAACTCGATCAAGTCACAAGTCATGATCGATATTAGGTGATGAGCACCTAATATGTACATTTACCTACAACTAGACATGTGTATTGACCAACACAGGTATCCTGCGCCCCGGCTTGGATGTCATACACGCCGTTAGTTAGGTACAGCACTCTGTCTCATCTATCCAGAACATCCTCAATTTGCCTCCTGAATGGGGAATGTCGCCGTTCACGTAGGTATACAACACCCTTTTGCTGAGCGGGACGGCAGAACAGGAGCTAGCCAGCAGGGACCTTTTCGAATCAAGATTCGTGAAATGAACAACACACAAAACCAAAAGTACCTCCATCGAGAACTGCCATAAACCCTTTCTAAATCTGATCGGTTCATAATACATACACCAGTCGTACTGCTGCTGTCAGAGTCGGCCGCCTCCCAAGGTCTGTACATGTAGCCTGAGGAAGGGTAGAGCTCAGCCTTATACAACCTCGCCAATGATCTTGGCAGCCTCCCGGTACGTCTGGAGCAACCTTTCGCACTTCTCACGCTCCTTTTTCACTGCATCATCCTCGTACAGCAGCTCCTCAAACATCGTCTCCTTGTAAAGCTCGCTAACAAGGCGGTTCTGAACCACATCCTTGCAGTGGTTGACAAGCAAATGCATGATCGCCTTGGGCACCTGATCTGCGATGCTTTCGCGTACAATGTTGAAGTAGGAGCTGATCAAAGCCCGGATCAGCTCGGCTTCCATAGCCTCGCGGTCTGTCATAGCCGGCTCGCCGTCATTGCTCTGCTAAAAAAAAAAGGTTAATACAGAGAAAACAACAAAAAAAAAAAAAAAAAGGTAATGAAAAAAAAACCTGGGCAAGGCTTTTAGTGAATACGGCCAACTTACAAGCTCAGTACCCTTCACATTGCTGACATAGTCCATGTCATCATCCACTCTTGTCGACTGCGTAGGCGCCCGCACCTGTTTCTCCTCTGGGCGTCGCATGCTTTGGCTAAATGTAGGCTCCATAGGCTGGTTGACGTGGCGTCCAATGTTGCCGCTGTGCGAAGGGCCGGGAACAATGGCTCCGTCCTTGCCAAAGAAATAGTTCAAGAAAGATTCCTTGGCGTTACCCGCGCCTTGCCCTCCGTTAAAGCGAGAAGGAGAATTCGATCTGGCACCGTTCAAAGCGCTCGCGATACTGCCGGGGCCGTTATCCCGGACAGCCGGCGACATGCTGCGGGCACTCTTTCCAGTCATCTTACGCGCGTGGACGTTGTCCGACTTTTCCAGGGCAGTACCTTCTTCTTCCCCTTCAGCAGGGGTCTCGGTGCCATTCGCGCCATGCTCCTTCAGCCGTCTCCGTTCACGTCTCTCGCGCTCCTCTTGAATCAAACGCTTCCTCTCCCTCTCCTGCTTATTGCTCACAACATGGCTCATTGCTGCAGCCGCGCCGAGGAAGTTGGGATGGTTAGTGTTGATGTAAGCCCTCTGGATGGAAATTAGCGACTCGACATAGTTGGACGCGGGACCCAACCGTTCCCTAAGCAAGTCAGAAACAACTTCAATGAGCTTGGCTTGCATCCTGGGAAACCTCGATAGCTCGGTCGAGCCACAAGTGTGACAAATCTTGATGAGCTCCTCGTATACCAACTCTACGCAGCGCTGGCTAGGGGGCTCGAGAAGCTTGATCTGGGGCTTGACAAGGAGATCGAAGGCCATCTCAGGTACAAACAAACTAGGCCGGGGACCAGTCGAGTTGCGAATCGCGGTCCGGATATCGAGGGCGGTTAGGTTGGAGGTGGGGTCGATCGATTCGAGAGAGCTTCCAAAGACCGAGTTGAAGATGTAGTAGATACGGGCACCGCCGCAGAGCTCCTTTGTCGAGATTTCCGTCGAGGTACCGTCAATGGACGCAATGAAGGATGACGCAAACCTGGTCATGAGCTGCAAAATAAGGGAACCTCGGTGCTCCTTGCCACTGAAGTGCATGTCCCCGTAGCTTGCCAACTCCTGCTGGGTTTGGCCCATCAAAGTATTTAGACGAGCCTTGATATCTGGGAGGCGTTCGCGAATATGAGCCATCAAGGTAGTATTGAGGGTCCTGGCGAGGAACTGGGTTCCGCAACGGGTGGAGATGTTTCGGTACGCGGGATGGTGCCTGAAGAAATCGGACTCGGACTTCAAGGCCTCCTCCATGGGCTTGTTGCCTTGGATATCCTGCTGCGATCTGTTGACCACGCCAATCCAGCCGAGCTTGAGCGGGTAGACCCGACCAGACAGGATGTCCAGGGCGTTTGTGCCGTGGTCCATGAGATCGACTTTTGTGAGGACACCAATGGTCCTCCGGCCCATGGGATCGACATGTCTGGCGAGCTTCAGGGCCTCCGAGTTCACGATGTCGACGTTGGCGGGCGAGACAGCCAAGACGATACTGTTGGGCTTCGCAATGTACTCGGAGATGAGGTTGCGCGTCTGTTTCTCAATGTCTGTGGGCTGGTCTCCAATGGGAACCTGGGCGGATACATGTTAGACCAACTTATGACGACATGTCCACCAGAGCTTCAAGCGGCGTACCTTTGTGAGACCGGGCAAATCAACGAGCGTTAGGTTCAGAACATGAGGAGAGAAGATTTTTAGGTTGATGGGCTGGCGGTTAATTCCCTTGTTGGTACCCGCAACTCGCGCTGTCTCATTTTCGATTTCGCGCTTGACGTCGCCAAAATCGGTGAATCTCCGATTCGGGATGTGGTGAAATTCTGCCCATTCGTTGCGGCCAGCAGCATTTGGGTTCCTGTAGCTGGGATGGGTCACATCTTCGGTCTCGTCGTCGGCAGGGACATTGATGAGCTGAAGAATGAGGGGCCTTCGAGTAACGATTCCACTGCCGCGGGGGAGGAAGTCGCGACCAACAATGTTCTCGAGGACGGACGACTTTCCAGCGGACTGGGATCCAACGACAACCTGTCATGGAGAGCGAGGATCGTCAGCATTCTGGTGGCGGAAAAGGAAGGGAAAAGAAGGACAACGGGACAGATGGGGACGGGTGCATTGGGAAGATTGGGACAAGGAGAGGTTGCGGGCGTGGAGCGGAAAGATGAAGGTGGTGGGCGGTTATTGCGTACGATTTGGGGCAGATCCAAGGAATCGTTTCCGATGGTGTTGAAGACCAAGTCTTGCAACTTGTTGACAACGCCCAACAGGTCGTCACCGAGAGCAGCCATGACGACGGTTGAGCAGATTAAAGGCCGAGAATACCAGTCGCGTTTACGAAGCGCAAGCGAAAAGGTGGGCGGGAGCCGGAGTTGGCGCAAGTTGTGAAAACGGTCCCGAGGTCGGGCAGGACGAGATCACGGTTCGGGTGGTGGTCGCGCGGGCGGGCTGGGGGCGTATGGGGTGAGTAGGCTCCCGGGTCTAGCTAAGGGATCGGGTTGATGGCTTCGCCGATTCGGATGCCTAAGTAGATAGTATACACGACGAATGCTAGGTGGTTGGCGGCCGTGCGGGCGGGTGGCAGCTGAGGAGAAGAGGCTGGCGACAGGAATCCAAGTCGGGCAGGTGGTTTTGGATCAAGCCGGATCGGCTTCAGGATGGGAAAAGAATTTACGAGCAAGAAGTTGCTTTGACTGGACAAAGGCGCAAGAGGCTCTGGCTGGCTGGCTGGCTGGTTGGCTGGCGGGACAAGGCACGAGGCGATCGATGATCTGTCCAAAGTGCAGCGAGTACGTACAACTGAAGAGTCCAATGCAGCACACTGACAGCTCGAAACCCGAAGCGATGAGGGATACCCTCAGCAGGTGTCGCGGCGCCCCGGTGGTGAGTGTGGATGTGGATGTGGATGTTGATGTGGATGCCAAAAACCTATAACCCGGGGGGGGGGGGGCGCTTCCAGAAACTCCAAAGCGTCCGTTGCACACTCACACAGAGAGAGAGCACTGAATGGCAGGGAGGGGTCGGTTCTTTGGTCGGGTCGAGTCCCAGGTCCCCACTTTTACTTGGTCGTTAGTAACAGTTCAAAACCTCGCTCAAAAATGGATTGTGTTGGTGCGTTGTCGTCGCGCCTGCACCCAGCCATCGAACCCGACCCGGCCTGATGAACAGGTTTCTAGGCCTTCATGCAGCGCTCCCTTTCCAATGCCGTGCCCGACAACCTACTCGGTCTGGGTCTGTGACTGGCTCTCCAAATGCTGGACTTTTGAAGCTCAACTGAACTACCAAACATGCCACTTTTTCCAGTCTACAGTTCAGGTTGAAGCCGACAGCGGGGATGGCGGGATGGCGGGGATGACCAGGCATGACACGGTGCATCTTCTGGCTCGTCCATTGATCCGAACAATTCCTTGGCTCCCGACCGGGCTGCGGACCGCGGGCTCTGACAACCCAACGGCGGGCGGAGGGCCGGAGGCAGAGACCTTTCGAAGGTCGTCCACCACATCTCGCTGGCCTGCCGAGTTTACTGCGTAAACATCGGAGTCTGTTTCCGGGACGAATCCAGAACCCATCCTTTGATAATTCCCTACACCAAGACAATGGAATCTGGTGCGTAAGTCTATAGTCCCGACTGCATCTCCGTTCACGATGTACTTGTACTGTCCACGATAATCTCTAGTGGTACCTAGGCATTATCTGCTGCCGTCTTGCGGGACCGCGACCTTTAATTTCAACGCTTGTCCAGCGGCACTAACAGAGCATGTCCCTGTTAACTTCCAGTCAAAACGCCTACACTGTTAAGGTAAGCGAAACCTTGCTAGAGTGCCGAATTTCAGGCGCAATTCATCCACATCCAAGCAAGACTTGTACACATCGAATCCCAAAACTGCAGACGCCCTGGAAGAGAAGGAAAAACGCAAGGGAAGAAAAAACGGCCAAACTAAACAGAATCATCACCATCACCGACTTGAAAATATGAGTACCTTTGGAAGTCCTGGCGCCTTGCCAACAACAAAGCCCACTCCGTAAGTCCACGACCCAAGGACGGCATATTCTGCACTCAAGGCTTATCCAGCTGACCACCAACAACATCTCAAGGCCCCAGAGAGGCAGTTTTCCCCTGGATCATGACGGTAAGGATTCACCACTCAGTGCATGTATACACTGGTCTCGATTCTCACTCATACCTTACTGCTCTCTAGGAGAATGCAAACACGTCATGACGACCTACCTTGCCTGCATCAAGAGGGTCAAGGGAGTCAACGAAGATGAATGTCGGTCGCTGGCAAAGGCATATCTCGCATGCCGCATGGAACAGTGGGTTGGCAGCTTTGAACTCTCCCTTGGACGTCTCTGTCTGGTCCCGCGCTAACCATGTGATATTCAGCAACTTGATGGCCAAGGATGACTTCAAAAACCTAGGCTTCAAAGAAAAAGAACCGGCAAGCACGCCCAAGCCGGCTGCTGAGCCTGAAAAGGGCGTGAAGGGAGAGTTGCAGTGGTGAAGAGCCTCGAGTTGCGACCACTCAGCGTTGCTTCAGTTGAAAAACATGAGGAAGAAAAATGATCGTTTCTTTGGCCTTGCTTTCCCGGAACGGTATCCGACTTTGCCGACGTCTCCTTTCATTTCTCCAAGTCGTCTTGTCTTCGAGTTGTCCAAGCTTCAGCGAGTAGCACCGCGAACATCTGCCACCCCTGCCATCAGCTAGCGCCAACCCTTTGTGCGGAGGCACTTGCCTTCTTGTCGATCTCCTCGAGCGGGGCGGGGGACCATCACCGTTACGGCTCCGAGTTCACCGTTTCACAAGTCTGCTACCGGGTCGGCCGCATCGATCCGTCGCACTGAAAGAGAACAATAGCAAGACAACGTGGAGCTCGGCATTACAGTAAATGTCTTCCGGAAAGCTGGATAAACATCCACCGAGCGTACAAGTCTCAAGACGGCCCCTTCTTGATTCCCCATTCTCCTAAAAATGCCGTTTTGATATTGACCAGGATCTCGACTTTCCATCTTCAACTAGGTCTTGCCGTTGTTTCGAACTCGATGCCGGTTGTAGTCAAGAGTGAACCTCGGCTACTCTACAATCACACTTGTGACATCTTTAACAGACCAAACACCCTTACATCACGGCAATCATCCAGTACACTGTAGTTGCCTACCTCTAACTGATTTGAATGTACTACAATCATCTGTTGTGCCTGTGTCTGGTGGATCTCTGCACCTTACACAGATATTCCAGAATCCCATGTACTACAGCAGCCAGCGGCAGTCAACCAAAGCAACATGAAAATGTATCAACACGCTAGGCATTGTTCACCCGTACATAGCCTCCAAAGCCAATGGGCTTGGAGGTCACGAATGTTATCAAGCAGTCGACGTTCCTTCACCACCTGCCAACCACAGCATGGCTCATACGCAGACACTCTGCCGTTCCTCCGAATCAACAGCAACACCCGAGTAATCTTTCAGGGCTTCACAGGGAAACAGGTTTGAATACACCACCGTCCCCTTCATGAATCTCTTTTATGTACATCCAAGCTAACGAGGTTCGGAACTTCCAGGCCACAGCGAATGCTAAGGATTCTTTAGCATGGGGGACCAAGATAGTCGGTGGTGTGACCCCGGGCCGCACCGGAGAACATATCGGGCTTCCCGTGCTACCCTCCGTACGCCAGGTTAGAAACAGCACTCGCAAACAGCTCTCTACCTGCTGACTCGGCCTGTCATCCGATTTTGAAGCCCAGAAAAAGCTAACACTGGCTTACAGGCCATGGAGCAACTGAAGCCGGACGCAACCGCCATCTATGTTGCCGCTCACCAGGCTCCGGGGGCTATCGAAGAGGCCATCGAAGCCGAGGTGCCCCTTATAGTAGCTGTCGCTGAGCACATTCCAGTTCATGACATGCTCAGGGTAAGCTCCTCGCACAAAGGGCTCGACTGTACTTGGCCATCATGTACTGATACTTGGATACCTAGATCCATTCCATACTCAAGACTCAGTCCAAGTCTAGACTTGTCGGTCCTAACTCTCCCGGCATCATTTCGGCTGTAGGGAAATGTCGTATAGGTATGCAAGCAGTCTTGAGGGTCCAGACAGAGCATATTGCGGATGGGATATGTGCCACTGGTAGAGGAGAAGACTAACATGCCAATCTCCCCTCGACAGGGTTCCAACCATTGCCATGCTTTTCGCCTGGACGGGTGGGCATTGTAGCCAAATCAGGCACTCTGAGTTACGAAAGTAGGCAGTGCTCTCCTTTTCCCAAGGTGGCTTTGGAGTCATCCTTTGCATCAGGTTTCTCGTCTTATACTAACCACCGCTCGCCTTATAGCCGTGGCGTCAACAACCAGGGCGGGATTGGGTCAAAGCCTGTGCATAGGTGTAGGCGGTGACATGGCACCCGGGACGGACATGGTAGAAGCGTTGAGTGTCCTTGAGAAAGACCCAGACACTGAAGCCATTGCTTTGATTGGCGAGATCGGAGGAACGGGAGAGCTTGAGGCTGCAGCTTGGATCAAAGAGTACTACTCTCGCAGTGAATCCCCCAAGTAAGCCAGCCATGCAACCTACTAAACCATCCCCCCTCCGTACTCGGTATGCCTACGGGAAAGCTAATATGTTGCATGGCAGGCCAATTGTTGGTCTTATAGCCGGCGTAAATGAGGCACCGGGCCACATCATGGGACACGCTGGTGCTTTTACGTTCCTTGGGGAACCTACTGCCAAGGCGAAGATCACAGAACTCGAGGAAGCTGGTGTGACCCTGGTGAATCACCCTGCAAAGATAGGCGACATCCTCAAGGCAAAGCTGCAAGGCACGGGTGGGCTGGGCACGACGACCGGATCTAATCCTTTCGCAAGCGGCACCCAAAGGCGTCAGCTTCACTCCATGAGAGGGCTTGGATGGCGTCCCCTCGTAGCCGGTCCATTCGTCCACAAAAAGCCCCAGCATCAACAGCGACGGAGCATCTATCTCGAGGCGAACCAGTGCTTTGATGAGCTCCGCGCCCGCGGCGGGATCAACTGCGGCCCCTATTCCGGCCACGGCACCCGTCGTCTTCTAGCGGTCGGCATCGATCGCTCAGCACGGTCCCCGGCCATCCTGGTCGCCCCTTCTATCGAAGACTGGATAGAAGAGGCCCAGCGTACCACCGCACCGGTCAAGAGCTTCCCGTTCGACTACCGCCGGGGACCCGACGGCCTAGTCATCGAGAGAATAGCGAGCCACCTCCAGCTGAGCAACAAGGGAGACAGCGCGGTCGACTCGCTCCGCCGGCTCATCAAGACCTTGACGAATCTCTTCTACGAAAAGGAGGGACTCCTCCTGACGACGCACCTCGTCGAGCGACTCGGAGAGATTAAGGTCGTCCACGCCCGCTTCGCCTTCGACCAGGCCAGCTTCCGCAACGGCACACCCCCGGACAAGATCAAGGCCATGCATGTGCGCGCGACTGACGATCCGGCCGAGATCGAGGCCGAGCGGAGCGGCATCGTGTACGTCAAGCTACCCGGAGAGGACGTGACCATCGGGACGTTGGTGAACGGGGCCGGACTGGCCATGAACACGGTCGACGCTCTGGCGGACGCGGGCGGGAAGGCGGCCAACTTTTTGGACACGGGCGGCAAGGCGACGAGCGAGACAGTGAAAGAGAGCTTCAGGACCATCTTGCAGGACCCAAGGGTCAAGGTGGTGTTTGTGAATATTTTCGGAGGATTGACGCTGGGTGATATGATTGCCCGCGGCATCATTATGGCTTTCAAGGAGCTGTCGCTTACGGTTCCGGTTGTGGTGAGGATCAGGGGTACGAATGAGGAGGAAGGGCAGAAGATCATTGCGGATAGTGGGCTGCCGCTTTATGCGTTTGATGATTTTGAGGAGGCGGCAGCTAAGGCTATTGAGCTGTCTCGTAAGTAGATGGATGGCTTGCAGACTGTCAGGTTGCGGTATGAGTTCAATAGAAGATGTTAGGGCGCAAACTTTTAACCAGAAAAGTGTAGATTAAGATTAGAATTCGTTGCCTATGTATCTCATGATCATCATCATGAATGACATGAAGGATGTTGTTGTATCCAAGGCGGGCATATATATACATGATTATTTCTCGTGGTCGACCGTATACGAAGCAAGTCATAGACGCTTCATGACGAACATCTTTGTTATGTACGAGACAATGATGTTTTGTTGTCCCCTGGTAGAAGCCGATTTGCGCTTCCCTTCTTCGCCGGGATGGATGGCCGCCTCCTGCTCCTTTTCGTCCAGGCCGAGAGACTCCATCTGACGGAGTTTCCAGCTTCGAAGGAGCCACACTGTAGCGAAAGAAGGCACGGTTAGTAAACGCGGGTATTGGATGGGATGGAGGGGAAGTTAATAGGTATACTTACTGGACAAGAAGGATGCAAAGAACATGAAACCAGTGAAAACTTGGACATCCAAGTAGACGCCTGCTCCGATCATGTCCCGCTTGAGACTCAGTCCGATCACTTCGGCACTGTATTATTGTCAGGTCGGTTAGCCATCGTATTTCCTTATTTTCACGAAAACCAACCAACCCATAGATGGTAGACATGACAACTTACAATGTGGAAGGGAAAACCAGGATGATCCAGTATACGGAAAGAGCTGTACAGAGTCCAAAACGTCAGCCTTTTGACTTTGAGAAGAAAGATTAGCCGCTAGCATGGTTGGTGACACTTACCAGCGGGCAACAACTGTAAACCAACAACCTCGGCTGCTACAGGTCCCACACATGGCCAAAGAATGCCGGCTACCGCACCAAAGAGCGCGTAGATGATGAGCCCGGCGTAGTATTTGCCGGCGAAGATCCACAGAAAGAAGGCAACTATACTAGCAATGAGCGTGCCTATTCCAGCGACATTCATCCTTCCTAGCCTGTCGCTGAGGAGGCCGATGGCAGGTCTACCAAGCGCTTGGGATACTGTGACGAACAGAAAAGACGAGATGTGATGGTTAGCGTGGATGAATAAGACGAAAAAAACACAATCTGCCAGACTCTTAGAGCAAACAAAAATGGGTGACAACTTACAATTGAACATAGCCGAGGCCAACGATGCTTGATCGCTGGTGAAGCCAGCTTGGATAGCATAATCCGCAATGGAGAAGACGACGATGATGTAGCCAATGATACCAAAGAATCCCCAGCCGACAAAAAGCCAGTACTCAGGCTGGAAGAAGAGGTCCTTATGGAAGGCTATGTGCTTGGCTCCCACGGCCTTGTTGCGGTCCTTCATGATCAGACAGACGCTGCCGTTCACAACGAAGCAGATGATGGCCAGGATGCGGAATGCCCACTCCAGACCGAGATTCGAGATCATGGCATTGGCTCCCAAGGCGTAGGTGAGACCACCGAATCCGGAACCGCCTGTTGCCAGAGCGTTGGCGAAAGAGCGCCGCTTGGTGAACCATTGCGGGACAACCCCGACGGTGGCTGTGAAGCAGAAACCCAGACCAAGGCCGAAGCAGACGCCTTGGCTCAGAAGAAGCTGCCAGGCATGGGTAGAGAAGGAGGCGCCGATGAATGAGCCGCTGTAGATTGCAAACCAAGATATGGTTAGCAAAAAAGGGTCGATTTTGGTGGAATAGAGGGAAAATACACCTACGTTTCGAAGACAACACCTATAAAGAGTGTGGCCCTAGTCCCTAAAACCTTAATACTATGTGTGGCAAGGGGCGACACAAGAAGAGCTGCAAGAACAATACGGAGTTTGTTAGCGGACTGTATCTTCAGTTATGAAAGGCATTGGGTACGAAAAGCGCACCTATTGACACCGAGAGACCACCAATGAAGGCAAAGAACAGAGGTGACGCCCCAATAATTGTACCGGATCGCAAGTAATAGGATAGAAAGACGGCATATGACTATATTGGTACAACAGAGTCAGCGGTGGTCCTTTATATACTTGTTGTTGTAACAGGCAGCACGGGGAGGAAGACCTACCGAATTGAGTCCCCACGTATGCATATTCACAAGCCATACACCCAAGACCACCACCCTATGTGCAGTAAAATGTCAGTAAACTTTGACCTACGGTGGAAGATAGTATGGTTGTAGCAAAGACAAGACTAACCAGCCATATCCTCCTTCCTTGAACTCAACCTCTTGGACAGCATCACTGTCTTCCGCCGGACTTTCATCTGAGAGTGACTTGGAGTCGGGTCCAACTGCAGTTCTGGCATCGGTCCTGGGAACTTGATCGGATGGCGAAAATCCTGCATCCTGACGAGACGACGCCGGAGCCGTCAAGGAGTTGGGGCCCAAAGTCATTCCTGTCTCTTTGACTATGCCCACAAAGTGTATGTAGTCGGCAAGAAAGGTACTTGGGTTTTCAGAGGGAAGGGGAAAAAATATAGAGTAGCAGGCAGGTGGAGCCTAGGATGAAACAGAAATTAATGGTACAAAAGGGCAGGAGCAAAGGCCTTGATATCACAACATCAAGAGAATGAAGTCTTACACCCCTGGTGGACCGGACAAGCTTTGATGTGTTGGTTGGTGGTTGTTGGTCTTAACAACAACAGCAACAAGGCAAAGTCCGAATTCTAAGTAGGAGGACAGCGATGGTTAAGGACCTATCTGAAAGAAGACGGCAACCCAACAGAAATGTCAAAAGATACGGTGAAGATGAGAAGAGTGACGGAACTGACGGTTAGGTCTATTGCCCATCCTGCTCGCGCTCGACCGGGGAATCGGTTTCCGGGAAGAGAAAGCTTTTAAGTAAGTGGAAGCACGCTCTTCACTAAAGCAGCCAGGTCCCCCGCTTTCAGATCGGGTTGGGGCCTCTAAAAGAGCGGAATCGGTGGCCATCCCTACGGATATAATCCTCATTGTAGCATGTGCTTGACATGATACAACTCCTCCAATGGCCCGGTTTACATTGTACACTACCATAACTTTTTGTTTTCTTTGTGCTTGTTGGTAGATGATGTCCGGTCCGTCCGTTCGAGATTTGCAAACACCGAGTCAAGCCGAACCTGAACCGGCAAGGACATCCCGAAACCTCTCTCACCCGCTTTTTTTTTGTTTGCTCCGGATCTCGTGCGGATCTCGGAAATGGGTGGAAGTGCCCCGGTCCCCTTTGTCACAAGACAGGACCAAGATGCTGACCATGACCCTGGAGGTGAGCCAGGATGGATGAGTCGCCCACTCACTAACCCCTAGCTTGAAGCCCCTTGTCTGACACGCTCAAACTAACGATCCTGCTGCATCCTCGTTCCTTGACCATGAAGAGAAAGCAGAGAAAGGCAATGGAAGGATGCAAGTGTGCGGTATGCCTGCAGTGTTGTGCGTTCTCTTTCCGCTTGGCTTTCCATTTCTGGGGGCTTATTCCCGGCTTACTACCCGCCATCGTGGGCTTGACACCCAAGATTGACAAGGCGGCAGGGCGGCACGCGGGGAGAACAAGGGGCCACACATCCGCCGTCACTGCTAATGTAGGGGGCAAACAGAGAGCTGGTCAACTGCTGTGGTGGTGGTGATGACGATAGCCCTATCCACCAAGGATCGGCCATCTTTTTCCTTCCAGAAGGCGGGGTTCGCAGTGTGCGGCTCTTGTGGAAATGCACAGTATAGTGTACAGCAGAATGCTGCTTGTGCTCCTACCGGCACTTGCATCAGATGGACAGTTTGAGGGCGGGATTGGGCATTGTTGTGCATCGCGTTGATGAAGTTGTGAATGAGGGTGTGGTGCTGAGAGATGCAGAGGACGGGACTATTTAAAAGACATTGGACCTGGAGATCATGCGGGGGAGAAGGAGACGGGATGAAGCGGAAAAAAAGAGATGACGAGACTATGAGATGAACCATGGATGATGAGATCAAGGGATGATGTCTTTGCGTGGTTGACATCCCGCAAGTGTTCGTTCGCATTGACCATCAAGGTTGTCGTTACCGTCTTATACCCCGTTGTACCGACATCACGAGGGATTACGCTCGATATTACGATACGGTGTATCGTTACGTTCTTCGTATGTTTGACCGCCGTATTGCCCCTTTGCAATACCACGAGGTCTTCACATGACTGAAAAGTTAAGCGTTACCATGTGAACTCCCTGCGAACGTAAGAATTTTGGGTATCCCGTAAACCTGTGAATTCGAGTGAAGCTGCGGTGAAAGCGGAATGCAACGTCCTTGGGACATTTCAGCTTATTGGAAGCTCAGGATTCACATCAGATTCACGCCGCGCCCAGGCACACTCACATCTTCTCCAGATTACCACCTTGGGTGCCGACTAATAACGGGGTACTACATCCAGTATGAACATAGTACGTGTCAGGCTTTTGACGGTCAAAGTTACACAATGGTGTTACGTATGGAGGCGGCCAGAAATCATGCCCTAACGTGTCAAGAGCGTGTCTCGGTGTTGTCTTGGAGCGGTGCAGCCCGACCGACGGATGCTCGACCTGACGGGAGCTTGGAGCCTTCAAAAGTCCCAACCAAGCAACAACAGCTGCACAGCTGCAGGCACTTTGTTTCCAGCTACGCGGTCCGCGCCCGTACCGTCGCTGGGGAGACCCCCCTTCCACTTCCGTTTTGTTTTGTCAATTCTCGACTAAGCCATCATCCGTCCAATTGCACGGCAGCGAACTGCTTGGAACGGATACCGTTTGACCGTGACCACCTCCCTCCCGCTCATTACTTCCATGTACCTATTCACGGTCCTCCTCCTCCCTGCGATTGACCTTCCTTATACCCTCCTCTCCTAGATGTCCGGGCACATCCCGTCACATTAGACTGACCTAGAGTTTTCCTTTTGTTGTTTATCTTCTAGCACCCTCCCCAGGCCGTCAGTCCTTTTTTGGTCTTTTCCTTCATTGTCAACATAGTCTCCTCGCGAAACAGGTTTGAGATCTGTCAAATCTTTGTCTTCCATTTGTTTCTTTGCATCGCGACGGGGGCTGGGACAACGTGTGGGTAGGTACACGAAACGTAAAACAACAAGAACAGGAAGAGGAACGGCGCCAGCACCAAAAAGACAATCACAACAGATACAGAAACGTCGTCTTATTTTAACAGTGATTTCGGTACTTTTTACATACTCCTATAACACCAGCGACCAATTCCGCCTAGAACCCTCGACTCCTTTTTAGACGACCTGTCCGGCGCTCCACCTCGCCAGCTAGAACCAGCCAGGGACCTCCAAAGGCTCACTCCGCTTCTGACAGCCTTCGACCACCAACCCTTTCCTTCACCGTCTCTATTTCCCCACTCCTGGCCATCATTGACGATCGACATCCCGCCATTTCAATAAATAAGAAGAGATAGGGCAGCAAAGCACCCTCTGCGAAGGGGGTCACCTCTCGCCCGCCATGTTTGCCCGGAGTAACTCGAACGAGCGTGCCTCGCCCAAAAAGGGCTCTCCGCCATCGCCTTCTTACATGAGCAGCGAGCAGTTTGGTACGCCGTTCTTCCCGACTATCTCCTAGGTGCTAAGCACTGGTGGGGGGTGTGGACGTGTTTTGTTATGGCCTGTCCCGCACTAACACAAACCACAACCATCCAGCCGCATATCTTAAAGATCTACGCTCCAGTCGACTCAACAGGCCTGGTGGTGCACGTCCACTGCCCGCTTCGAAGCGCGATACTGCCTCTACTGCTGCTTCTGCTGCCAGTCCCTCGCCTAGCAGCCGCCCATCTTTCACAACCGGCCCTCGCGTCTCCGAGACCGCCTCCTCTCCCGTCCAGAATGGCACTTCAGAAGCGAACAATGCGTCCAGCCCGACTCGCGAGCTGTCCCCTGGCCGCAACTCCATGACCGCCAGCGTTGGGTCCAAGTTTTCAAACGTCACCCGAGGTAGGGATTACTACCCGGACGGTCCAACCCGGCCCTTGAAGCCGTCAGAGGTGGTGCCCTCGGCTACTTATATCGAACGCGGCCAGAGATGGATGGAGAAGGAGGAAGCAGTTTCTTTGCGTAAGGCTATGGAGGACATGGACCTAAAGGGACACAGCAAGAGCGCCAGCGGTGGCCCACTGGTCAGGCCGGATGTTGGCGCCGGCTCCGGCTCCGGGACCGATGAGGCTCCAGAACAAACTGAGGAGGAAAGGCGTCTCTACGAAGCCGCGCTGGCTGAGGCAGCTGAGTTGGTATGGCAGCACGAAAACCCCGGGAAAGAAAGGCCGCCCGAGCCAGGCACCCCATATCGCTATAGGCCTCACTTGCGCAAAGACAGCTACGCCCATGCCCGCACAGCCAGCGTCAAATACGGGAGCGACGTGGCCCCTACTGGTCTGGCCAGAGGTACGAGCATGTACTCGATGTCAGGAAGTTCTTCGGATGGAGATGAAGCAGCACAAGGATCAACTCGAAGCCCAGTATCTCCCGCTTCAGCTCGCCCGCTGCCTTCTAGGCTGCCGGAGACACCCAAGGCGAGCCACGAGCGTATGCGAGACGGCTCCCCGGAATCGGGTAACTCCAAGTCGTACAGCACTTTTTCGGGTAATAGTGGTTACGCACGGAGTGGTTCCAAGAAGAACATATTTGGTGAGCCCCAGAAGTCGTTCCCAGGTGAAAAGATTTCGGAGGAATCAGAGGCGCGGTCATCATCTTCTAGCCTGGATAACTTTGCACCAACCAGAACTCCTGAGCAGCTGGGAGCGAAGCCCAAGAACCCCCTAGGTCGTGTACAGTTCGCCCCTGAAACGTCACCGGCAGCGGATGGCATTGCGTCGTCCCCTCCCAAAGACGGCCGATCTAGGCGAAAAGTATGAGATTCACCGCAACCCTGTCACACAATCTCGCAACCCCCAGTACACTACCAACGTACGCCCCGCTCTGCCCTGGGAGAGAAAGAAGGCGCCGGTGCAGGAAGAGATTCCTCGAAAGCACGGCATGGAGATTCGCAGCGATGAGATACGGCAAGCCACAAGCATGAAGCTGAAAGACCGTAGCGTCAAGCTACCCACGCCGTCTGCCGTCAGTGACAATCCCGGTCGACCCATCGTAAGCTTTGACAGAACATGGAAAGCTCCAGATGAGGCTGCTGATGATACGCCAGAAGGACCGTCGAGATTCGGCAAGAGTGACGACCGCTCGACGCCGCTCGTCCCTGGACGTTTCCGCACCCAGCAGTCGCAGCAACCCCAAGAAGAGCCGCTGCAGCCGCAACACCAACACCAACACCAACAACAGCAGCAGCCGCAACAGCAGCGAGCACTCCCGCAGCAACCCCAACGATCACAACAACAACAACAACAACAACAACAACCAAGACAGCAGCCGGGCTCGACGCCGAACGTCCCTGTTATCTCTGTTTCGAATGGTTTTTCAACCCCACCGTCGTCGTCGTCGCCAACAAGACGCCCACTCCCAGTCCCAGCCCCACCCAGTATTCAAATAAATGGGCCGTCATCTTCATCATCTTCTATCCCTTCAATATTTATTCCCTCAATGTCTGTCCCCTCGATCGCTGTCTCAGAGCCGGCTAAATCATCGTCATCATCATCTAATATCCCCCAGATTGTCCTCCCCGGCGGATCGGACGATGATGGACCTAGCATTCCCATGATTGTCACGCCCGACGACAAGCCCAGCAACACGGCCAACAGCAGCAGCTCTCGACGCCCGCTTCCCACCCCGGGATCCGGAGGTCGACACATGCCAGCTCGGCCGCGCAGTCACTGGTCACCGGCCCCCAAGCCAGCAGGCAGCCGCGCCACCGCTCGCTGCCACGAGTGCGGCAACTTTATCGAGGGCCGCTTCGTCTCGCTGGCGGGGATGACAGAGCGCTTCCACCCGCAATGCTTCGCATGCTACTCATGTGGCACGTCACTCGAGGCGCTCGAGATCTCTCCGGAGCCAGATGAGCACCGGGCGGCGCGTCTCGAGCGCATCGCCCGACGGGCCGCGGGCGAGCACCTCCCCGAGACTCCCGGGCAGACCATGGCCGAGGACGGGGACGCGCGCCTCCGGTTCTACTGCCACCTGGACTGGCACGAGCTGTTCGCGCCGCGGTGCAAGCACTGCACGACACCCATCATGGGCGAGCACGTGGTGGCGCTGGGCCACCACTGGCATTTCGGCCACTTCTTCTGCGCCGAGTGCGGCGACCCGTTTGAGCGTGGCATGACGCATATCGAAAAGGACGGCTATGCGTGGTGCGTGTCGTGCCAGACGAAGCGGACCGAGCGCAGGGCGCCCAAGTGCAAAAAGTGCCGCAAGGCGGTCATCGGCCAGTACATCAGGGCGCTCGGTGGCGAGTGGCACGATGAGTGTTTCCGGTGTGCCGACTGCGGAGGCGGGTTCGACGATGGGCAGATCTTTCCCAGGGAAAGGAGGGCCGGTTCGGTGCCGGGCGAGATGGTTGTGCTTTGTACTGGGTGCATGGAGAGGGAGTTGAAAGCATAGGCAGGCATAGGCATAGACATATACGCATAGGCATAAGGAAGTAATGGGTTTGCTTTCACACTTTCCTGGGGACTTGGTACACAACACAAAGAAGAACATAGGACAGTAGGACATAGGATAGGGATATAGGAGGGACTTGGAAGTCTTAGCATTTTGCAAGGGGTGTTTTTTTTTTCTTCAGCATAGCATTTGGAATCAGGAGGAGTTGCTCTACATTTCCTTTTTCAGCAGTCGATAGTGTTTAGGGATATATATGTACGAGTATCGAATTATTTAATAATATCACAAATAATATCACACCAAAACAACGAAATAACCTACCATAGGATGTCATGGTTGTGTGACTATCTCGGGTTTTTGTCTTGAACTTGCCAGTCTAGTAGCCTACGTAATGGGCATCACGGATGTCACGGGTGAATCAGCCTCGGGAAGATAAGCACGAAAGTGACAACATCCCACAGCGCTCGTGAATGGCCATCGGAGCTGGACAGGTGGAGGTGGTAGCGAGCAAGTAACGACTCTGTCCATGGACAGCATATATATCAATGCAGCGAATGGGTTGACTGGCTGAGCAAGGGGCAGATTTGATAGTTTAAGGCCATAGATTCCTGTTACGTTGATATCACACGACGCTCCAGAATGTACAATTCAAGCACTTGTTTGTTTGTCAATCTGCTTCTTCCATCATGGGTCGAACAAGGGCATATACAAGGTAAGATCAGGAATTAGTTATGGAACGAAACGGATCAATTAGACACCAAAACACACCTAGGAAGGTTAACCAGAGGTCTCGAGTTAACAAAGCAGTATCGGTATGTATGTACATGCCACTATCACGAGGTTTTGCGATGTTGTCATAACATCTGGAGGGGCAATCGAAGGGGGGAAAGAAAGCGGTAGAGAATCCTAATGCCAGTTCTAAGATGCCGTGTTCACGCCTAAAAGATAAAATATGCCGGCAAAGCCAGCAACAGCAGCAGCTGGCGTCCTGTCATAGTCTTTTGTAAAACCCTGAATCAGATGTCCCTCAAAAGTCCCTCGGCCCCCTTGGCCCCCTTGGCCCCAATAATGTTGCACCCTCCAAACTCCGGTTCTCCTAGGCATCACCTAATGCGCGCGTTGGAAACAAAAAGCAGAGAAATGCGTGCGTGCGTGCGTGCGTGCGTGCCGCCAGTGATAGCTGGCAAAAAGTCGTGATAGTTTCGTAGCCTCGTGTCCAATGATCCTCATGTCACAATTCTGAAACTCCTCGGTTCCGGCCTTGCCCTGTCTGTCATGGAATGGGCTGTTCACCCGAGCCACATCGCTGGAGATCAAGTCACTGGGTTTTGTCGTTACGCTCGCTAACGTGAATCTGGGCGGTTGTAAATTTTTCTTGTTTTTTTTCCTTCTCCTTGTGGTATGGGATCGTCTCTTGTCTAGCAGCCGCCGACCTGCTCTTGGTGGACTTCCAAGCAATCGCCGTCCTGCATCTCGAGCTATAGTATTGTGGTAAAAGAAATGGTCAGCAAACGGGTTTCCGGCGTGGTTGTTGAGTGCTTCTCGTCTGCCATACTGTGATCCCGGGCTCGGAATAACATCACCACACTCGATGGGTGCATGTCAGATTTTACTCACAGTGTCTGGGGTATCCGTGGGCTGTACGCGCTGGCCTTCGAAGAGGAATCTAACAGAAGCCAACGTCTTGCCCTGGCGTTCGCAGAACGCGGTCATCAGCTTCTCCAGCTTGGTGCTGCGCTTGATCTTGAAGAACACCTCGTTGTTATTGTCGGTGACCTTGATGTTGAGATGCTCAACGGCAGGGGCGGCAGCATCGGCGCCGGAGTTGTTGCCGTTCTCAGCGTTGTCCGCCATGTTGATGATTTATGATTTGGAGTTGAAGATGTTGAGGTAGAAGTCTAGTCGTAGAAGAAGTTTCGTCAGTGAAAACTGGACGGGGCGAATTTGAACAATTAAGATGTTCGGAAACACTAGATTTCCAGGCTGCGATGGAAGCAGAAGAGTGCGCGGGTGCAAACGCGCCAGATAGACTCGTCCTGCCCGTGTTGTCGTGGGCAACAGAAACACGACGAGATGGAGCAGGAATCGGTGGAGGGGGCAGCGATGGCCCAGAGGGAAACGGGCTGTCTTACCGGGCAGGCGTATAGCTGACGACGATTGATGGATGGTAAGTGTCGAGGGATTGCAGCCTTGGAATTTAGTCGAGTCAAGTGTGTCCGGGAGGATTAAAGAAGTGGAAGGCGAGGTGAACTACGGCTGGAGGGACGCGGTTTGTAGGTTGGGTGCAGAAGACACAAAGTTCAGGTGGGGCCAGCCTTGAAGCACCAATATTTTGTACGAAACCTTGATGACTACCTCGACCTAGGATGGAAGCTTTTTTGGTAAACCTGAACCGGTTGTCAACTTGAAAAGTAAGGCTCTGCTGGACTGCGGCAAAGCAATCAACACCCGTGCCCAATTCTTTAGGTCATTATGGGACGAAAAGGCCGAGGACGACCAGTCTCTGAAGGTATTCGTACACCAAATTGTATGCCCGCCAACTCCCCAAGTACTTCACTGTCCATCACTTGGCACTAGGTACCTTCAGGTCAACCATTCGAATACCTTTTGCTTCCTTTTAGCAGACCACCTTGTGTCCCGCAACCATTATAATAATCATTTCCTGGTAGACTGAATCCCTCGTTTGTTGTATATTTCAGCGTCTGTGGTAAGACTGGTTGAAAGAAAGTACAGCCAGGCCGGCGCATTGCTGTTGTCTGTCGGTGTTTCCGATCCGGAGAGTTCCTGACATCATCCCTCCTCGCCGTTTCCTTCACTGATACGCGCGGTAGCTGGACTCACCTACACTACAGGTCAAGAATGGGGTACCGAAGCACCGGGATTGTTGTGGGGATTCCAAGCTTGGGGAGATCCTCAATCGTCAAGTCCACTCGGATCTGCTGTTCTTGTGAACGATAAAAGCACAAGCTGAGGAAAAGCAACTAGTTCTTCATCCTTTCACGATCCAGCTTCCCAACCAGACGGGCTTCTTTGCTGTCTTAATTCAATACCATGGTGGGTTTTAAGTGCAGTGCCAGCTTTGCTCTCCCGTCTCCCTCCAAGAGACTCAGCTTCTTCACGAGGCACTGCTGACCGTTCACGGTGCTTTACCAGACATTGCAAGACGACCTCGCGACCAATCCGCCATGCCATCCTCGTGCGGTCAGTTCCACATTTCCTCTGATCTTTTGTCATGGATTTGAAGATGTGGCGTGCTGACATGCGACTCATATGCCTGCAGTGCGCGATACAAAGTGAGGACACCGGGCTTGACTCCTGTATCGACCAAGACTGGCAGTTTGCTGACCTCACATCACGCCGTAGATTGCTTGAACAGAAACGGATTCGACGAGAGCAAGTGCCAGAAACTGGTCGACGCACTTTACGAGTGTTGTAACGCGTTCTACGAAAAGAACGGTGACAGCGCGTCAACGGTTAGCTGCCCCAAGGCGAACCTGTTAAGGCTCAAGATGGAACAGAGAAAGAAGGCTACATGAAGGAACACATGAGGAATCGAAATGTATCACTTGTCCAAATATGTCCACCTAAACGCCCCGTGAAGGTGTTAGGTAACTTTGACGGAAAGTGCAGTATTCCTCTGGGCGATCCTTGAGCACGCGAGAGACCTCATGGGCCTGAACAAGAAATGAAGGTCTTGTTCCGAGACTCTAATAGGAATGCCGTGGACATTGATAGAGAAAAAAAAGAAGAAGAAAAGAGCAAAGATTTTTTTTGGGTTGGTCGCTTTTTGTATCATTTTCTTGCACTGGTGGAGGGGCCTGAGTTTGGGTGGAGTCGGGCTGATATGGTCTTGGCAAAGAGACCCACATTCTGCCGGCCGCAGATCCCAATCCTGCCCTTTGAGCCGCAATGGAACGCGTCGTGCGGACGGCAAGCAAGTTGCTAGCGGCAGCTGGAGCTTCGACGTGTGTTTGGAAATTCCATAACGTGAATTATTACAACATGATTACCTTTCTTTACGTAGGCGCATACAGAACTAAACCTATTTACTACACAAATCAGAAGCGACCTCGTGCTCTCATTACGCAGCTAGGTGTATAAGCAACGCCGGCATTGATTGATCAAAATCGCCGAAAGTGGGACGTCATCTTACCATACCTGTGCTTCTTTCTGGAAGGAGCTGTCGACGAACGATCCGCCCTCCCCCACCAAAGAACCCGCGACGCGCCTACCAAACAGTCCTTACAGAATTACACCAAATCACCACTTGAACCACGCAGATACGGAAACGACCAAGGGCGAAAATGGCACCCGCAGTGGTGAGCAGCAACCCATCCTTCTTTACGCCCAAGTCGCAGTGTTCATTTCTTCTGATGCGCAATCACTACAGGACCCTTCCGTCACCTCAGACGCTAGCTTCTCTTTTGCCTCGAAAAGCGAAAGCCCAGATCTAGGTTCGACCATCACGGAGCTTCGAATGCCCCAGACCAGCTAACTGCTAACACTACGTGCGCACCCAGGACTTATACCTCCTCCCATGGCCCAACAGCCGTCACCATACCGGCCAACCGTCATCCGAGCCGGCGACGAAGTCGAATTCTTTTCGGGCGAGCTAGACCGCCACCTCACCGACCTCAGAGGAACCACAGAAGAGAAGCGCGCCCAGGTCTTCCAGCTTGTCGACTCTTACCATGCATACTCGAGGAAAAGGGCGGATCGGCTCCGCGAGCGCCAGCCACGCAAACTCACCCTCCGCGAAAACGAAATGGACATTGACGATAACGAAACCGACGACCTAACCGCAAACTTCGACGAAGAATATCGGAAATCAGAAGAGGAGGCGCAAACATGGGATCTCCTTAGGCGCATGCTGCCCCTGGAGTACGGCCAAGACGAAACATCTCAGTTGAAGCGACACACGAAACCATCCGTACAGTCACGAAACCATTACTGGAATGATTTCATGCTGTCCGACTCGTTGGCAAGGGAACAAAAGGTCGTGCTAGAGTGGCTCCAAAGCAGCGCAAGCCACGGACCGCCAGTGGACGACATTGTGAGCCACCTTCAGGAGAGCGCAGAGAGGGGTGACATCCTTGCCCATGGCTGGCTTCATACTCGCACCAAGATCAAGTTGCAGAAGAGCGTGAACGGTTACCAAGGACCGCTTGACCCAAGGGCATTTGGCTTTGCCGAATCACATCTCAGCTCCAACACGCTCGTCACTCAGCTCGATCCCGATGCTATCACACGGCAGGCTCGCAGGTTGGAAACCCAGGATGACTTTTTCGAGCGCGCCATCTGGTTGGGCTGCTTTGAAATGCTACGTCGTGGCTATTCAATGGCTGAGATTCGAGAATGGTGCTCTGTGAGGACGGAGCTATGGAGAGCTGCGTCCCTTGCGCCCCTACCGCTTGCGAACCCGGAAGACGAGGACCAGCCCGACTTTGACCCGCGGTCGCTGGTTCTATGGAGGCGGATGTGCTTTTCCACCGCTCGGGATGGTGGAACTAGTGATTACGACCGGGCGGTCTATGGCCTGCTGGCCGGTGACATCGCGAGTGTAGAGAAGGTGTGCGAGACGTGGGATGACCTGCTATTTGCTCACTATAACGCTCTACTTCGAACGCGGTTCGACTCGTATTTGGTCAAGCACGGTGGAGACGAGGCTGCTAGGGCCGCCCAACAGTTCCCTGCTTTCAACGCTGTTTTGCATCACGGAGATCCGCACTCAGTCAGCAAGAGGCTCGTTACCCTCCTCGAGACGGATTCGAGGACGAGCACTGAAGCTACAAGGCCATCCAAGGCACTGCAGGGTGCCATTGTTGCCCATGAACTCGGCCGTTATTTGACTAACCAGGGACTCGTCCTGGCGAAGCACGCAAACCAACGATCAAAGTCCAACTTGATCCCTCCAGTTGACCTGCAAGTCCCAGATGATCTTAATCACCCTAAATACTTCAATCTGTCGGACCACAACAGCCTTCGTGTGCTCAGTCACGTTCTCATCATTTACACTACTCTCAACGGGCTCAGCGAGACCCGTATCATTTCCGATGTCCGTCAAGAAGCCATGGAGAACATTATCGCAGCCTATATCAGCTACCTCCGCCTCGCCAATATGGAGGAGATGATACCACTTTATTGCTCCAAGCTACACGGCCAGCGCGTATACGAGGCGCTTAGCCGAAATCTTATCCACATTCTCGACAACGACGCACGGAGGGTGCAGATTTCTATTATGAACAGACTAGGCATCAGTGTTTCGGAGTTTGTCAAGAGGCAACCAGAGGTTTTCCTTAGCGATGTCAACGACCTTTCACAGCCCTGTGAGGCTAAGGGGAGATTCAAGGTGTTGGAGGACGGCCCGGCCACACTGAAGTACGGCCGTATAGTGAAGCCGGATTTCTTTGGTGACGACGAGGAGGAAGAATTTGACACAGAAGAGGGACATATCATCTGCTCTCTGGAATGGCTCATGCTGACCGATGCATTGTTCGTGGAGACATGCTCATATGTCATCAGGGCCTACAAGTATTTCCTAAGTGAGTGTTTCCCCATTACTGCCACTACTCGATCTTGCAGCAAGTCGCTAACATCTTACAGAACGCGCACGCTTGCGTGCTGCCCGTGCACTCTCTCAGAGGGTGCCAGCCCGGGAAATCATCCGAAGGAAGACCGGAATTCTGGTCGGGGGAGAGGAAGATGGCGGCAGTATCGAATGGTTCTCCGAGTTCGCCGCCAGTGAGCTGCCAGAAGAGTTGCTCGCGCGTTACGCTGGTGACAAGGACGCGCTCGTCGCACACGTACGAAACATGTGGGAGCTTGAGTGTCTTGTCAAGGCGCTCGACTCGATGGAGACCTTGTCTTCTTTGGCAGGTCTCGCCAGAGAGTAAGTATTTCCAAAAGACAACAACTTGGCGTTGATTACTAACAAAATACTACTAGGGATAGCACCAACTCCCGTGAAATGTGGCAGCATACAAGCAAGGAAGTCCGCGCGGCCAAGGCATGCATGCAACCAGTTCTAAAGGGGTGGTTGACAGAGTCTATTCGGCGTAAGTTTACTCCAATCATATCTCATCGTCGGTAGTGGTTTGGTCTAACGCGTGTTTCTCTTAGCCGATCCCGATTTCCAAGCTCTTCGCGAGGCCTACATCCCAGAGACCGTGCTGGCCCTCGTTAGTTCTTTGCACTTCGCCGGCGCCACTCTCTCCCGCGACTACTTGCTCGAATGCATGGAGCTGGCTGCGGTTGTCGCTGAGAAGGGATCAACTGCTGCTCAGGAGTTCGTCAAGGCTGGCAGGATGAAGGAGCTTGTAGAGGCATTTGCCTCATGCAGCAAGGCACTCGCTATCTTCGCGAGCGAAAAGAAGGCCACCTCTAAGGAGACGAAGAAGATCAGGGAGAACGGTTGGTCTCGGGAGCTCTGGTCTGTCAAGCCACAATAGGGCGCCTTTTGTGTTGCGAAGATCCTCGAGATAAATCCAGCGCCCATTTTCTGGTGGTGCTAAAGAGTTGGACATGTGTGAGGGACACTTGAATACTTCACTGTACGAATCATGATGGATTAGAAAGTTAAGGTCTGGACTACAGGTGGAATAATGGGGCAGAGGAAGTCTACTATGGATTCATATGTATCATACAGATGGCGTTGTGGGGAATGTGCCTGCGAAGAACACACTTTGTTTGCATGACGATCAACGCCTTTTTCTTAAAAGCATCAGTTTGGCGACAGCCTTGAGAAGGATAAGCCGTACATCCAACGGGACTCTTGCAAGTCTACAGGTAATCAAAACAGTGAGTCTGACAACACACTGTGGTTTGACGACGAAGGAGGGGGGCCATCCCATGACTTATTACCCATGTGGTTATAGCAACCCGCACATCCATCCACGTTGTACAAGGTAGTGTCTGTCGTTGAAATGGTAAGAATCTTGACCCAGTCTCAAATGACCACAGGTTTCCCGAAGGATGATGACACTTACTCAAGTCAAGCGTGCTGTTTCGTAGTACATGCGCCATGTCCGGGCATAGACAATTGAGAAAGATGGTATGGAAGTTGTTGTAGATTCGGCAATTACGGCAGGTTGTGGTGTAGTTCCCACTGAAGGGGGAAAGAACGAGTTAGTTATCATCGTCTGGCTGGATGGAAAACTGCAGAAGTATATCGCTGGATGGTCCCTTCCACTTACCTATCGTAACTCTCCAATGCCCCATTTCTGTTTCCAACGCAGAAGTTGAGATCCAGCCTATGACCGACGAAGCAGCATGTTAGGAACCCAAGTATCGTAGTTTACCATCGACGTTCAATGGGACAACGGGTATAGTCGAAGACTGACCAGGTGTAGTTGTACCCGAATATGGCAACGTCGTCGTTCAGACAGTTGCACCCCAGCCAGTGGCTGTCGTGGAGACTTGCGCCCGTGATAATGCAATGACTGGCATACCCTCCGTTCGGGTGCTGTTGTGCAGAAACAAACAAGAGGCTGCCTGTGAGCAATAGAAAAGCGGCGATGCCGCGGAGGGCCGATAAGGCGAGGCGTGCAATGCTGGTCATTGTGAGCTCGAGTGTTTCCGACAACGGTGGGTAAGTTCAGCAGAAGGGGAAAATCTGCGAATAGTAAAAGTAAATTGTCCGAATGTAAGCCACTCAGGAACTGAACGATAGGTGAGTATTGTACTGAACCAGAGGCGAGGAAGAGGGTCTCTTCATATATCACCACACCCTGACAAGGCAGGTGCCTTCCGTACGTGACCAACTTTCGTTTGGCAAGAGGTAATTCAGGGGCAGGCACGACTGACCTAGTAATGAGTAAATCTCCAACTGTTCGGCTTCTATCCCAGCCATGTTTGCCCGGAGTGTTTCAAGAAACACCATCAGTTTTCTTTTCCTTGTTTTCATCAAATATCACCAAACCACCGCACTCATCATAACCAACCCATCCTTCATCCACCGCCTTCCGCATCTCCTCACGCAGAGGCTCTCGCTCCCCGGTCACGGGATCCCACTCCCACCCTTCACGCATCCTGTTTGTCGCACGACCTCATCAGTACTGAACGAATGACCTGTGGGAAAGAAGACGAAAAGCAAAGGAAGTTCTTCAAACAAAAAGAAGGAAAACAACGTACCAAATCCACCGCAAACATGCTCTCAACTCCTTATCCCGAGGCAAAACCCTCATCCATTCTGGCTGAAATTCCGGATGACGACCCTTTCCCTTCCAGTCCTCTGCCCGACCGAGCAACTTGTCCCGACAAAAGATCCGCCACGAGTCCAGAGCGTACGGACCCTGGGTGAGATGGCCAATTTCCCAAGCGGATCCGATGGCATGTTCTTTGGCAAGTTTGAAGGCGTTGATACTAGTATTATCACCCTCATCTCCTCCCCGTGACACTTTCCCTCCTTGGTAATAGAAATCATCAGGCTCACATCCAAACTCCTCTCCAACCTTAACGTCCCTCGCATCTCCCACCCTCGGGTAATTCTTTACCCCGTACCTCTTTTCCCTACAAGGCGGACACTCAATCCACATCCTTGCATACTTTTGTATGACAGCGCAACGATTGACTGAAAGCCCAAGGGGGCGGATGAGGTTGATTATCTCAGCGGGGTCGGCACCGGCGAGCGCCTCGGGAGTAGGAAAACGAGCCATGAGTTGGCGGAAAAGAGGAATGGCCACTGTACCCCGGACTTTTATGAGGAAGGTTACGACTATGAGTAGGCGGAAGGGGTCGGAAGCTAGTTCTTCTTGGATTAACCCGAAGCTGGGGGCGGAAAGGGGAGGGATGGGCAGGCGGGAGACGCCGGGCGGGGGGTATTGGACCCTTTTCGTTGGGGAATTCTTCTTGGATGGAGAGATTTTGCTTGTTAATTTGGGTGAGGGTGGTGGTTCAACGAAGAAGGGCGATTTGTAGGTGTGTTTTCCCGTAATTATCGCAGTAGCTGGTGCAAGAGAGACATCGAAACTCAACTTGTCTGCTACAAGCACATCACCGAAGGCGGCGCCGAGGAGTTCGTTGGGGGGCGAGGGTGAAGCAAGACTACGTTGTGGACTCCGAGTGTCGGGATGACTCGTATCGTCTGGTGGAGTTGAGTGTTCAAGGTCGGCGTCTTCTTTTGACCCTGAAATCTTTTCTGATTCTCCGTTGCCCTGACCGCCCTCAGCTGGACGGTGAACAACCGTGATCAACTGGGTCGGCGATGCCGCCTTGACTTCCTCCTGATCTGGCTCATAGCCCTTCACTGCTTTTCCACCATCGCCAGAGACACTAATCTTCCGCTGGCCCCTCGTCCTTCGTCTATTCGTTTTCGTAGTATCATCATCCTCTGCCCAAAACCGCGAGACACCCTTCCTCACCGCAGCCGTCGTTGTCTTCTTCGCCCTCTTCCTTCCATCTGTTTCCACGATTTCCGATGTAATCTTTTCTCCCCCAACAACACCTCCTCTTCTCTTGCCCAGAACACTGCCGACCCTCACTTTCATAACCACATCCAAAAACGGTAACAAGCACAGCTCATGACCATCCCTCACACTTTCCGGCCTTGATGATTCCCGTCCTCGCTTCAACCTCAAAACCTGATAAGCTTGATCTCCCAAGGACTTGGCACAATTCATCATCATCTCCCATTCCTCCATCCCGCGCATGAGACTCATTTCCACTAGTCTGCGGACTTCAACCGCCGGTGCGTGACCGGAAGTGAGTAACGAGGCGAGGAATTCTCGGTCTACGGAGGGTAAGGAGTCGATGTCGAAGGCATCGAGAATGTCGTGGGCGTAGGCTGGGGATATGGTGTCATTATATGGGAGGTGAGGGACCTGATATTGGGATTGGGATTGGGATTGATTTTGTGATGGCATTTGGCTGGCTGTTTTTCATTGGAGGTTATTGGTGGTCCATGTGTGATTTGAAGCAATTGTAGAGCTTAGTTGAGCTTGGAAATGTTACGATGAGTTCGGACTCAAGTTGAGGTTATCTGTGAGTGAATGCAAGGGCCTAAGGGGTGAGACCAAGCTTTTGTTTGGAAGGCGAATCAATTGCCAAGCCAGGAGCTTCCTCTGTTGTACTTTGTACTGACATACCCGGAATCTGGCCAGAAAAAGACTCGCAGTATACAATTGTGAAGGTGAGAATCTTCAAGCGCATTCTGCCTTTACCATCGCAAAGGGGAGGCGCACGAGAGGCGTACATTATAATGCAGATCTAGCCGACAAAGAAATGGTTAGACCCTTGGCACCCGTCAAGAATGCCATTGCCGTAATTCCCGTAGCCTAATCCACTCACATGCAAGCCCAGTGTCACTTGTCATACCCAATATCATTATACATGTTTTAACATAGGAAATAACGTCTAGGATGTATTTAAGACCGGAAATTTTGATTTATACACTCTACGACCATCTTCATGTTCAACCCACACGCCGCACGTCCCCGCATTGCCCACGGTTACCGATAGCGCCCCTGCCCATTCCCTTTTCGTTTTGCTCTTTCTGACCGACGCGCAAGAGGGAACACGGGGGAGCAAAATTTCGGCAGCAATAGTATATGATACATACACAAAAAAAGATGGGGGAAAAGCACGCACGTCTCACAACGGGTTATTGTGTGAATGTCATGACTTTGCCCTTTGTTGTGGCAATGCTAAATTAGTGGCGGGTAGCGGACTCCTTGGGGGGATCGTAGACGATCTTCCTCGACTTGAGCCAAGCCCACTTGTAACGCTTAACCCAGACGCTCATGGCGAAGAGCACAGAGGTGACAACCAGAACCTTCATACCCATGCGCTTGCGGTCGTCCATCTCGGGCTCAGCAGCCCAGTTGAGGAACTCAACAACATCCTTGGCCATCTGGGAGGTGGAGGCGGGGGTGCCATCCTCGTAGTCGACAAGGCCGTCGTAGAGGACACGGGCCATGGCGATACCGGTACCGGGGAAGTAGGGGTTGAAGTTGAGGCCGGCGCCAACGGTAGCACCAGCGGGGGGCTCATCGGGGTAGCCGGTGAGGAGGGAGAAGATGTAGTCGCAGCCACCGTGGCGGGCCTTGACAATCAAGGAAAGATCGGGAGGAAGGGCACCGTTGTTGGCGAAACGGGCGGCCTCGTCGTTCTTGTAGGGATCGGGGAGGTAGTCGGAAAGCTTGCCGGGGCGCTTCTCGATCTCGCCCTGGTCGTTGGGCTCGGTATCGTACTCGTTCTCCTCGGCGAGAGCCTTGGCCTCATCGACGGTCAAGATGGTGCCGACAAGCGAGCGGTAGGGGACACGGCTGAGAGAGTGGCACGAGGCGCAGACCTCACGGTAGACCTGGAAACCACGGCGAAGACTACGGTCGGGCAAAAACAAGGTCGTGAGCTAGAGTCATTTTGAAAAGGGAGGCGCGGCCTCGGATAGGCTCGGTAGGGGTGGTGGTTGCTTACGCCTGGTGATCGAAGGTCTTGAACCACTGCTGGTGGACCCAGGGGTACTTGGAAGCATGGAGACTGCGTTAATGGTAAGCCTTGTGTCATTCCATGCCCAATTTCAAGCTAATAGTCGAGCTCGGTCGTATATGCCTCAGAAGTCGTGAGGCAGACCTCGGTCCAACGGCTAGAACGGAGGGCGTCGGGTCGGATCGATCGCGGGGGACTCACCCTTCCTCAGCCGGAGTCATGGCGGAAGCGGATCCATAAAGATGGTAGTACCAGGCGATCGAGCCGGCGGCGACGGCGGTGGCAGCGGCGGCAGCGATGTTCAGGCGGAGGGGAGACTCGGCAGCGGCGCCGGAGCTCTGGGTGGAAGCCGAACGCTGCCGGAGGACGTCCGTTAGCTTTCCTCGAGGAGCGCGAGAGTATTCATGAAGGAGACAAGACAGGATGGCTCGGCTGGGGGCGGGGACGGTCGGGCGACTAGGTCCCGGGCCGGGAGCTCGCAGTAGGTGGACGGTAGCTCAAGCCGGCCCAGGCCCGGCCGGTCGAGTGGTGATGCGGCTGAGATCTAGGCGTTGGAGGGGCATGTGGACGAGGACTTAAGATTGTCGAAGCAATTCGAGACGCACCTTGGCAAACTTGAAGGCGCCATTTTTCGCGCTGGCAAAGGTGCGCGTCGAGCGCAGGGCGGTCCTCGCCAGCATGGTGGGCAAGCTGAGCGAAGCTTTAAGAAAGTATCGCGGGTTCGGGGGACAAGGCCAATTGGGTTGGCAATGTCGATGACAGTATCAGGTCTGGCGGGCGGGAAGGTCGAGCAGGTCCGTCCAGGTGCAAGGTCGGTCGATTCCCTTCACGTAGCGTCGTAGGACAGGACCGTAGGTTTCTTGAATTTCGGGAATCTTAGGAACACTGGCCATCTGATTGGCTGGGCCAATCACCGCGCAGCCTTTCGAGCTTTTGCACTCCCCTCGGCCCCGGCCGATGGATTTTCCGCACTAATTTACCTCATTCTGCCCGCGGGTCTCAGCGCTCTCAAGAGCACTCAAGCACTCCAGACTTCAGCGAGCCCAATCCCGGCCTGCAAGTTTCACAAGCAACCAATCTCCAATCCATCTGAGCTGACAGCTGGAGCTGGCCATCAGCATCAATCAGCCATCAGCATCAATCCAGCCAGCCAGCGTCGCCCCATATCAAAAACGTCCAAGCTCCCGCACGCCGCCGTCCGCCCCTCGTTCCATCTTCAGCTTTCACGGCGACCCAGGGTCACCGGCTCAACCTGGGGAAAGGCTGCCAAGACAAATGTTTTTGAAGCTATCCATGTACCACATACGCATGTCTTGGCTCCGGAATCGCAGGTGAAGCTCAACTTGTGTCACCACAAAGACCATCACGGTTCACGCCAACACATGACCACAATTGCATACAAGCAAAATATCCAAACACAAATGGACCTACTAGGGTTGGTGTCGGTTGATTACGGAGAACATCATCAGAAACATTGCAGC